GAATCCCAGCTTCACTCTAGCTATGTGCTTTACCAAGCTGCTAGACTTAAGTTTCATTTCCTTATGTGGAATACGGGGGTAGTAATAACGCTTGCTTTGTGGGATTGTTATAGGAATTAAATGAGTTTATGCACATAAGGAGGAGTGTAGAACCATGCCTGGCTACATTATGAAAGCTCATGAACGTCAGCTATATATCCTGCAATAAACACACATGTTTTTATTTCTATAGCATAGATTTCTAGTTGTGGGGTGATCTAGGATTATTTTAAATTTTAATCGACGCCATCAAATTACTTATGCTAAAGATTGCAGCAATTCCTGTTCCCACAAGGAAGCAGTACACATGAGAGTACCTGCCCGTTTTGCCATTCCCTCCCAGACCTGGAGGGTACCCAGTTTTGAATGTTTGGCAATCTGCTGAGGAAAAAACCCAATCACTTAACCCAATTAATTGTCTTAATTTGTGCATCCTGCTGGGTGTGTTCAAATTTAGGCATGTTAACCAGCTGTGCTTCAGGGTCAGTGATCTCCTTAAAGTGACACCGAACTAGCAGATATCCCCACCTGCCAAGTGGTCACAGCCATGGGATGAGAAAGCACAAATGAGCCTTGGATGGAGCACAGTACCACCACTACACTTTCCTAAAGGATAGCAGAATATAACATGTAGTAACATTAAAATGAAAGTCTTACTTTTGTTTTTTTAAAGAGTGTTTTGACTATTCTTTTTTCTTTATTATTTTTATTTCAGAGAGAGAGAGTGAGCGAGTGAGCATGAGCAGGGGAGGGGTAGATGAAGAGAGAGAGAATCTTAAGCAGACTCAACGCTCAGACCGGGGCCTGATCCCATGACCCTGAGCAGAAATCAAGTGTCAGACTCTCAACCGACTGAGCCACCCAGGCACCCCTGTTTTGGCTATTCTTGACCATTTGTTCCTGCATATACATTTTAGAATCAGCTTTTTAGAACCCTTTTAGGATTTTGGCTGGAATTACATCGAACCCATAGATCAGTTTGGGGAGAATCGATTTCTTATAATTGATATCTTAAACATCTTTGCCAAAGAATATGGCATGTTTTTCCATTTTTGATCTTCCTTGCAGTTTCTCATTAAAATTGTATAATTTTCTCCATTAAAGGTCTTTCTCTTCTTTGGTTAGATTTATTCTAAGCAGTTCATATTTTTGTTGCTATTATAAGGGGCATTTTTCAAGTTAGTTTTCTAATTCTGTTGCCAATGTATAGAAATGCAATTGGTCTTTTGATATTAAAACCTTACTGGCTTTCTTATTAATTCTAATACGTGAAGATACTTTTATTAGAATCCATGTAGGCAAACATATTATTTGTGAAAAATGATGCTTTTATCTCTTCCTTTCTAGTTCTTATAATTTTGTTTGTTTTCTTTGGCCTCACGCACAGGCTTGGTCATTCAGTAAGAGGCTGAATAGAGGTGCTTGTAGTGGGAATTCTAGTTTTGTTTCTGACTGTACAGAGAATGTGTAACTTTTCACCATGACAAATAGGCTGGTTGCAGGCTGTGGTACATAACCTTTATCGGGGTCAGGGAGCTCCCTTCTGTTCCTTGTTTGTAGAGTTTTATTATTATATGTATGTTGAATATTGTCACATACATTTCCTGTATCTACTGACATGATCATATGGTCTTTGTCTTTCATTAAGGTGTTCAACCACAGAAATACATTTCTTAGTTTTTCCTTTTCCTACTGTCTTTTTTTTCTTTCTAGTTTTAGCATTCAACTAGCCTCATGGAAGGAGTTGGGGAGTGTTCCCTCTAGTTCACATTATCTGAAAGAGTTTGCATAAGATGGGAATTATCTGTTCTTTAAATATTGGTAGAATTTTCCTATAAAGCTACCTAACCCAATGAGAAGATTTTAGATAACTAACCCATTCTTTTCTGAATGTAGGACTATTCAAGTTCCTTATTTCTTCTTGAATAAACTTTGGAAAAGTTGTAACTGTATGGAATTTTATTCATTTTTATCCAAGTTTTTAAACTCAGTGGCATTAATATACTCATAATTTTCTCTTCCCTTTGCAATATCTGCTTTATTCATAGTCATATCTTTTATTTGTAAAATTATTTGTCCTTTCTTTTCTTTCATGAACAATTTTGCTACAGTTTCATTCATGGTATCAGTGTTTTCCAAGCAAAAACTTTTGACTTTGCTGATTGTCTATTTCTATGCTTTATTTATTTTTTCATTGTTATTCTTTTTTCTACTTAGTTTATTACATTTTACCATTTATGCTTTTCTAATATGTACACTTTAAAGCTATAAATGTTCTTCTCAAGCACATTAGCTGCACCCAGGAAGTTTTCAGATGTAGTATTTAATCAATGGTCAGTTCTAATTATTCTCTAATTCTCAATATGGTTTCTTCTTTAGCATACGAGTTGCTTAGAAATGTGTTTTTTCTTTTTCTTAAACTTTATTTTGAGTGAGTGAGTGAGAGAGAGCACACATGCAGAGGAGAGGCAGAGAGAGAGGGAGAGAGAGAATCCCAAGCAGGCTCTGTGCTCTCAGCTCAGAGCCCAACTTGGGGTTCAAACCCATGAACTGTGAGATCATGATCTGGGCTGAAATCAAGAGTCAGACCAACAGATTAAGCCACCCAGGTGCCCTGTGTTTTAATTTTTCAAATAGTAAGAGCTTAAAAAATTATCTTTTGTTCTTAATCTGATGTAATGATATTGTGGTCAGAAAATATGGTCAGTGTGAAATGAATTGCGCAAACTTTGTTGGGCTTAAATTATAATTTTTTTAAAATTTATTTGCCTAATTTGTGAGAGGGACGGAGTGGGGGAAGTGCAGAGAGAGGGTGGGGGAGAGAATTTCAAGCAGCTCCAAGCTGTCAGCATAGAGCCTGACACAGGGCTTGAACTCGTGAACCATGAACAAAAGCAAGAGTCAGATGCTTAACTGACTGAGCCACCCAGATGCTCCTGTTAGGCTTAAATTTTTTAAATGCTCTACCTGTGCTTAAAAAGTGTGTCCTCTATAAATGTTCAGTTATTAAGTTTGCTTGGTATGTTATTCAAGTGTAGTAAGCTGATTTTTGCTACTTGATCTATTAATAACTAGGAAACGTGTGTTAAAATCTACTGCAGTAGTGAATTTGCCCATTTCTCCCACTGGCTTCCCTACATTTCTGAGGAGTCCAATGAACCATGTCATCTCAAGAACCATTTCTTTCTAGAAGATGCTTAATAAATGATCCCCTGCTGTTGTGGGTTGCGTTCCGTCCACTGAAAAGATATGAAGTCCTAACACCAGGAGCTGTCAACATGACCTTGTTTAGAAATCAGGTCTTGGAGGTTATGATGGATGAAATGGGATTGTATGGGGCTAGGGTGGGCCCTAAATTCGATGATAAGTGTCCTTCTAAGGGGAGATCTGAAGACACAGAAGAGACCCAGAGAAGAAGGCCATGTGAAGATGGAAGCAGGGCTGGAGTGAGGCCTGCCACAGCCAAGGGCACCAGGGACTGTGGGCAACCGCCAGAAGCTAGGGAGAAGGCCCTTCTCCAGAACCTTGGCAGGGAGCACGGCTCTGTGAGCACTTTGCACTTTCGGCCTCTGCAACCATGAGAAAAAATTTCTGTTGTTTGAAGCCACCTGGATTTGTGGTAATTTGTTAGGGCAGCTGCTGGACTCTAAGGTGGCTGCTCTTCCAGTGTGTTGATCTGAGGTGACTTTCTTGCGGGCCTCACCACCTCACACCTCACCACCACGGTTAGGACTTGTTTGTGTGAGTGAGAGGTGAATCTTTCATGCTCAGCCTCAGCTCTCCAGATCTTCTCAGGCCAGCTTCCGCTCCGGTGAGCTAGCAGTGAAAACACTCAGTGTGGGGGCGCCTGGGTGCCTCAGTCCGTTGGCATCCGACTGGTGATTTCAGCTGGCGGTTATGATCCCAGGGTCATGGAATTGATTCCTGCATTCAGCTCCGCACGGAGTGTGGAATCTGCTTATAATTCTCTCTCTGTTTCTTTCTCCCTCAGCCTTTCTCCCCTGCTCGTGTTCTCTCTTTCTCAAGTTAAAAAAAAAAAAAAAGAAAGAAATAAAGAAAAAGAAAAAAAGAAGCTCCCCTGCATTCTCCCCGGGGAACTCAGGAACTACCTGGTCACATCTCTTTTGGCTCCCTATTCACAGTGGAGTCAATGCAAGAACCTGGAAAGCTTCATATTTATTATCTCTATCACTTTGTACAATTCACACATTTCTGGATTTCCACTGATAGAATGAGTACTTTGGGGTGATTATGTAGCAAAGGACACCGAGCTTCTTCAGTGGGGAAGTCCAGGGTCTCACAGAGAGAACGTGGGAGTTAGAGCAGCCACCAGGGGGCGACATGTCTTTCTGCAGCTGGTCCGCAGGCAGACTCTGCCTCTGGTCAAGGGGATGCCCCAGACCTGCCACTCAGGCCCCTCATCAGCTCTAGGGGGAAACTATCCAGATGAGATGACGGAGGTTGCACATGGAAACTTCTCCAAGAAAAATGGTGGATCTGATACTTGATTGGTGACTGATTAGATGGAGACGGTGCATGGTAAGAAATTGTGTAGAATGTTTCCAGGTTTCTAGTCTGAGTTACCAGGTGGTGCATAGAGAGAGGAGGGACGGGGGGCCTCATATTCATGTTCATAGTTGGATCCTGTGGGGCATGTAAGTAGTATCTGGTAGGAAGCACGAATCAGGGGCTGTAACTCTCAAGCAGAGTCTGGAGGGAAGTGAAAGGCAGAGAATGGGATCTTGAAGGCTGGATGTGATTTCTTAATATTAGCCTGGGCACAGCATAGGGTCTAAAGTAGGGGCTGGAAAACTACAGCCCATGGGAAGAATTGGCCTGCCACTGCCGTTTTGTAAAGAAAGAAAATTACTGGAGCAAATCCACACCTGTTCACTTACGTATGGTCTGTGACACATTTCCCACTACAGAAGCAGAGTGAAGTAAGTTTTGGACACAGGTCCTGTGGTCTGCGAAGCCTAAGTATTTACTATATGGCCTTTTGGTGAGGAACTGTGCTGACTCCTAGTCTAGAGCAGCATTTCTCAACCTTCAACGTGCATTACCAATGACCCGGAGACCTTGTCAAATGAAGAATCTGGTTCCGGAAGTCTGAGTCCAGCCCTGAGATTTGGCACATCTATCGGGCCTCTGTGATACTGATGCTACTGCTGGTCCAATTTAAGTTTCTGGCGTCCCTAATAAAAAAGTAAAAATAGGTGGCATTAATCTAATATTTTATTTAACTCAATATAGCCAAACGATTATCATGTCTTATGTAATCCATATAAACAGATTGAGGCCTTTTATTTTATTTTTTTGTGCTAAGGTCTTTGAAATCCGGTGTATATTTTTCATGTCCAGACCCTCTCAGTGAAGCCCAGCCACAGTTCACGTGGTGAAGTGGCTGCCGTCCTGGCCAGTGGAACTCGAGAGTAGACAGGAGCCTATGCCAGATTTCAAATCCCAGCCCCCCCCCGCCCCCCCCCAAGAGCTGGGTAGCTGGGTAGCCGTGGGCAAGTTATGTAACCTCTCCCTGTCTGTTTCTCCACCTATAAAATGAGAATAATAAATGCACCTCCTCATGAGGTTGCCTTCAGGATTACGTCAACCAATAGCGTTTAAACAGCCTGCCAGGCACATCGTAGACCATTATTGTGCTTTTAGGATTCCATACAGGAAGCACATTCTTTCCCTCCCATAAAGGAGGAGACTGAGACCTGCTGCCTGCCTCACACCCTAGGGGCAGAAGGTGGAGGTTAGCATACGCCTCAGTTCTCAGCCCACAGTTCCCCCTTACCGCGAAGATCTTTTTTTCTTTCGTTCCACAAATATTTATTGAGCCTTTATTGTGTATCAGACCCTATGTCAAGCAACAGGGATATAACACCAATATGAGCACAAAAACTCTCTTTCCCTGTGGATTACGATCTAGTGGAGAGGTTCACAATGCATATAATGAATGTAGAGTATGCTAGAAGGTGGCACCATGGGGGGTAAATACAAGCAGGGTAAAGAGGCTGGAAAGTGCGGGGGAAGGAAGAAGTATCAGTTTTAAGTAGGTGGCCAGGTGGGCCTTCACGGGGCAGCAAGTCATGGGAAGTCCTGAGGCCAGTGAGGCTGGAGCTGAGTCTGGGAGAGAACTTACAGTGGTCAGGGAGGTGGGGAGTTGGGGCAAGCATACCGTGTAGCTTAAGGCCATTATGAACATTTTGGTTCTTCCCAGTGAAATGGAGAGCCAACTGGTTGGATTGCACGGAACAAGAGTCCTCATCTGGATAAAGTTGTTTTGAGGCCGCCATGTTGAAGTGAGGAGCCTGAAATTAAGTCCTCCATTAGAAACAACCTCAGGCTGCACGTAGTCCCAGTTCCAGGAAAAGCCTCAGTTGAAGCCTCCCTTGGACTGCCCTCTGATCTGCCATTCAAAATAAATGTGTAACATTCCTGTAGTCTTGGAGACGAGTCAGGGCTGGGAACTGCAGGTAGTTACTTTGTACAAACTTGCCAATCAATCAAGGCTTGCAGAAACCCCACGTAGATTCTCTGAGCTCACCTCATAATTGGTCATTTTAAAAGACTCTCAAAGGTCATGATTGGGTCCCGCCAAATGTAACGGACGCCTCGCAGATACTGAATGGTCAAAACTGTTACTATGCTGTTACTATGGGCATTGTACAATTATGATTGGTGCTTATGTAATGATGCAAAACGTACAATGTGTGCATGGGAACACCCCCGCCCCTCCCCCATACAAACCCTGCTTGCCACTGTTCGGAGCTCCACCTTGTTGCTGCTGCGCCGGGAGACTGGTGAGCCCCTGCTCGAGCTTGTAATAAAGACCCTTTTGTTCTTGCATCGGTGCCGGCTCCTTGGAGGTCTCTGGGGACTCGCGATTCGGGCATAACAGAAGGACAGTGTGGGAGCAGGATAAGTGACCATCCGTGTTGGCCCTGATCTGAGGCTTTCCTGGGAGGTGTGGCTCCAGGAACCACCCGGGCAAACAGGTGTGGTTGGTCAGCTAAAACCGAGACCGGTTTTATTCTTTGTCCTCCTTCCATAACCAGTCTGTGTCCTCACAACATCCATGTCAGTGTTGTACAGTCACAATAGGTGTACCCTCACGACACAGTACTGTGTGCCATAGTCACATAAATGGCATTATGCTACAAATTCCATTTCTTTGTCAAGTGCTCAACACTATTTTTACGATCCCCTCCATGTTGCTGTACTTAACCTCTGGTTCACTGTTTAGGTTTTTAGAGAAAGAGAGTGCGAGTTGGGGGGCGGGGGAGGGAGAGAGAGAATCCCAAGGGGCTCCGTGTTGAGCATCCGACTCTTGACTCAATGGGGGCTCAATCCCACAACCCTGGAGCATGACCTGATCTGAAATCAAGAGGCGGAAGCTTAACCAACCGAGTCATCCAGGTGCCCCTAGTTCATTGTTTTTAACAGCTGCACAGGATTCCATAGTAGGCACCTGCCGCTTTCACTTATCCAAGACCTTGCCTGCCTCCAACAAGAGCAGCTTGAGCGACACCACCGAAAGCATCCATTTGTAGCTCCCTCCCAGTGCCAGGGGGACATTTTCCTGGGGAGCACTGGCACTTGGACGTATACACCGCCAATGTTAGGGTGCCTCCAGTTCGCTTTCTAGAGCGCCTGCAGTGGTTTACCCTGCTACCAGCAATACCTAAGTCACAGTCCCCACATCCCTGCTGACACTTAAAGTTTGGCATTTGAGGGGCTCTTGATTTTCATTTGATTTCCTCTGGCTCCTTTGTTGATCTCTCCTTGTTAACCATTCCAACCTGCCCTTCTGTTAAGATGGTTCTATTAAGGGGCACCTGGGTGGCTCAGTCTGTTAAGCATCCGACTTCCGCTCAGGTCATGATCTCACGGTTCATAGGTTCGAGCCCTGCATCGGGCTCTGTGCTGACAGCTAGCTCAGAACCTGGAGCCTGCTTCAGATTCTGTGTGTGTGTCTCTCTCTCTGCCCCCACCCCTCCCACCCCCGCTCGTGCTGTCTCTCTCTCTCAAAAATAAATTTAAAAAAATTTAAAAAATAGAAGGTTTTATTAAGACCCACAGCCCATTGCTCTTCTTCCTTTTTTTCTTGTTGACTTGCAAGAAATCTTGTAAATATACATTAACCCCTTGTCAGTTTTAGTCACTGAAAATACCTTCTCACTCTGCCATCTGTTAGCTTTGACTGTGACGGCTGAACAGAAATCTGATGTTTCTAATTCTATCCTTTCTCCCTTACATTTGGTACTCTGCGGGGGAGGGGAGGGTTAAAAAGGTGACTTGCCTTTAAAGATAATTTAGAGTAAAAAAATATTTTGAAGTTATGCTTAGAATAAGATCAATATACAGAAATTACCTTCCTCTATGCTGGGCTTTGGGAAACATCCATCTAACTTAGCTTCTATTCATTTCTACCTGATTCTGGAGTTTCTTTTTCCTTTCCTTCAGGACCAAGTGAGTTAAGAAGAAAGGAAGCCACTTGAAGTAAATTTGGTTTTCCTAAGTTTTGCTAAACATAGCCGTAAAATGCAACACTCCCTTAGCAAACTTCATGGTGGGAGGGAGGAAGCGGAACCTGTCCATTTCACCCTGCCCATCACTCTGCATGTGGTTGAAACTGTGCAGAGCCCGGCCATCCTGAAAGAAGAACGCAGACTGAGAACAAAAGCTTTGCAAAAAGATTTGCTTCACAAACCATAGAAACCTAAGAGTGGTAACGTGACCAAGAAACCAGGTTTTGATTAGAACAAATACTGAGGAAGAACTATATGCCACAAATATTGAGGAAGAACTATATGCCACAAAGTATTTCTTCATTGAATTAGTCTGAAATATACACAAAATATTTCTTCATTGGATTAGTTCGAAATCTACAAATACATGAAGTAAACACATTATGGTCCATGTTCAAGTAGGGTCGTCAGGGTGGAAGAGACACACTACAGACCACAGGGCCACACAAGGTGGAAGGTAATTTGAATGTTATTTGAAGAGAATGGAGAATGGCCAGGAAGTTCCAGAAAATCCTCTTGGGGTCCCATGACCAAAATAAAACAACTTAACAAGGCTAAGTAGAAGCCCATTAAACATTTAACTGTCTTGGGGTACCTGGATGGCTCAGTCTGTTAAGTGTCTTGACTCTTGATTTCAGCTCAGGTCATGATCCCCTGGTTCATGGGATCAAGCCCCGCATGGGGCTCTGTGCAGTGAGAAGCCTGCTTGGTATTCTCTCTCTCTCTCTCCCTCTCTGCCCCTTCCTCGCTCACGCTCTCTCTCAAAATAAATAAACTTAAAAAAAAAAGACACATTTAAGTGTCTCAGTTTTATTGAATCTCAGGTCTAAATAAAAAAACTTATGCCAGGTGGAAAAGATGGAATTTAAGGACAAAGTGTGGGGTGTGGTTCCTGGAGTTGAAGCCATGAAATCACAGGTAAGAAGACTATGATTCATCTTTCCAAATTGCCCACTTCAAATTCTGATTACCACGGGGCCAGAAACGGTGAAAGGTGGTGGCAAAACTGCCAATTATAGGGGCGCCTCAGTGGGTCAGTCAGGTTAAGTGTCCAACTCTTGTTTTCAGCTTAGGTCATGATCTCATGGTTCGTGGGATTGAACCCCGAAATCGGGCTCTGTGCTGACATTTGGGATTCTCTCTCTCTCCCTGCCCCTCCCGCCTGTGTTCATGCTCTCTCTTTCAAAATGTATTTTAATTACAAAACCCTACCAATTATAAACCTGTGAGAACAGACCTGGTTACTTTCTAGAAATCATCCTACAGTGACAGAGTAAGTCCCACACCAGGAATAAGGAGGACACTGATGACCTGGGCCACAGACAAACTCTTCCCCTTCTTTTTTTTAGGAGAGAAAAAGGTGTGTCCTTTTTCCTCCATTTAGTTGAGTTTATGTATTTAGACAAGATGCCGGTCTTTTGTGACTATCCCCATTATGTTCTGTGAGGGTCTTTCAGCATTTTTCTCAGGGCAGAAATCCTTCTGAAGGCTGGGCTTTCTTGTTTAGGTCTCTTATTCGGGTCTCCTACACGACAGGCTGTTGACAGAAACGTTTAAGCGGCCGTGAAGTCTGGAGCCCAGAGGTAATTCACCTGCCTAAGAGGATCAAGGGTGAAGGGCAAAGAGAGGAGGCCAAAGGGCTCCAGTCTCTGCCAGGCAGGGCTTAGTCGACCTTAATGGATATGCTGATAGAAAGAGGCCACTCTACTCAGGGCTGGGCGGGAGGAACCAACACCTTGTTAGGAACAAATGGCAAGGCCTCAGCAAGGCAGGCTGAGGCCTCAGGCTCTCTGACAAGGCGGGGCTGGGAGGACACCTCAAGGTGTTTGGTTTCACGCTGATGCTCCCGGCAAATCACAGAACCTGCCACGTGGGCCTCGGGGGTGAAGGGGCACTCCTTTGTCCTCTGACGACCTTTCAGTAAGAAGAGAGTCTGACTCAGATGACTGACGCTCAGTCTCTGCTCCCAGACCAGTGTGAGCGCCAGAACCCCTCTGTGCAAACCATTAGCATTTCAGGATCGCAAAATAAATAAATAAATAAATAAATAAATAAATAAATAAAAAGAGCCTCTTGTGCATTCCAGATTCGTGGGACAAATGGAAACAGATGACAAACAAAAATCCCAAACCGCTGCCTTTGAGCCCTGTTGACATGGGCAGCTGTTGGACACAGGTACTTATTTCTCTTCAATCAAGTGGAGTAAAATTTAGACATCTTTAGAGGCCTTAAATATTTTATTTACCCTTAGGCCCCAAAGACCTGTATTTATTGCACTACCTCAGAAATTATTTAAGCAAGTTCTCATTCAGCGTCATCATCCCATTCTTTGTGCCTTCCAAGTAGGATGCTTCTGTGCTCATGCCGCATTCTCCTCTTGCTCTGCTACTCCCTCACTCCTCTCCGGACATGTTTCTTAGGCTCTTCTTTTTGTTAATAGCTGGACCCTTCCCTCTCCACCTGTCTCTAACATCTGCTTCTGGGTTATAGCTCAGGTTCACCCCCCCCCCACCCCGCCCAGGGTAAACCTCTATACAGTCTCACATAGCTGAAAGAATTGTACTTTCTCATGGTTATTAGTAACATAAATACAGAGATTCACATTTCTCTGGAAATAAGCCCATGCCTTTAAGCTTAAGTCTAATTGCAGAATCGTGTAATATAAACTTAGCATTTGATTTCACTATTTATAAGAAAAAAATACATAAAAGTTCGTTAATTTTAATTTTCTGATCTGTATTTATAGTTAATATTTTATTTTTTTATGTTTTTTTTTTATTTCTAGGAGAGAGAGAGAGAGAGAGAGAGACAGTGTGAGCAGGGGAGGGTCAGAGAGAGAGGGAGTCACAGATTGAAAAAGGCTCCAGGCTCTGAGCTGGCAGTCAGCACAGAGCCCGACGCGGGGCTCGAACCCACGAACCGCGAGATCATGACCTAAGCGAAAGTCGGACGCTTAACTAAGCCACCCAGGCGCCCCAATATTTTATCTTTTTTTAAAAGTAGGCTTCATGCCCAGCACGGGGCTTGAACTCACAACCCTGAGATCAAGACCTGAGCTGAGATCAAGAGTTGGGATGCCTAAACGATGGAGACACCCAGGCGCCCCTATAGTTAGCATCTTAAAATGATAACCTTACCAACAGTTGTCTCTGAATGGCCTTTACGGCTGATGCACAGGTTGATGTTACACCTTGGTAAATATTTCTCCTTGTGAAATATATGGCTTGTGAGCTGCCAGATACAGAGAACCCTCCTTCCAGAACACAGACCGGGTGTGCTTCATTATATGCACGTAAGTACAGCAAATGCAGGGTGTGCAGTCAGATTCAGACAATTTATTGTACTGAATTGAGATTCAAACTCAACTAAGCATTCTAACAGGTGACAAGATTCCAAAATCAGAGAAGAATCCATTTCAGTCCTAAGAAAGCAAGCTCACAGAGAGTCTGGGCCAGCAGACGAGCTTTCAGCTTATTGGCTCTCAGCACCCATCTGGGTGCAAGGGTGGCAACACGAGGCTGCCAAACACGGAAAATGATCGGACTCCACAGTACCCCAAAGGGAATTATCCTTACCTTGAATAAAAAGCATTATTTAAAAAAAAAAAACATTTAAAGATCTCCCTTAGTTTTTCTAATTCCTAACTGTAAGATACCACCCAGTGACAGAACAAAGAATTTTCCTTTGTTGGTCACATCATTCATTACTCAACCAGAAAAGCAACATCATAAAAAAGAAAACACTTAAGTGGAAATAAATAACTAAATAATTTACATGTAGGTAGTTTTGCTGCATTGCACATATAACCACACAAAATCCTAAAGCTGATTTTTTTTTTAAAGCTTAGAAAATACATTTTCTTTTCTGGGTTTCTTGCTAAGTGACGCATGCTTCTAAGGAAAACTATTCTATGCACAGGACTGATATTTCAACTTTAAATATCTGTCCATCTAGAGCTTGCCAACTAGGTGTGAGCCAGTGCCCAGCTGCCCAAGGGGGCCAGGCACAGCCACAGCAGCTTCTCCAGCTCACCCCCCAGGCTGGGGAGCGCGGCCCAAGGCCAGTAGTTTTGGGTCAAAGTATGCAAACAGCCCGGGTACAAATGGGTATATGTGTACTGTTGCTTTGATGTCCTTCAGTGGACTGTCAGATCTCTGCGAGCACCCTGGGGCAATGGGGGGTGCCTGGAGAGCAGCAGTGCTCACAGCAAGGCTCAGCACAGGGTGTTTTCTTCCACAAAGTTGCTGGCGAGTTCAGTCCGGGCCAAGTATTCCCTGCCTTCTCGGCCGGCCCTTTAATTGATGTGAACTCATCTCCTGATTTAAGCTCCTCACCCCGCACCACCCTGGCCCCTGCATCAGAAAGACCCACGTGAGATCCTCTGGAGGATGCCATGAGGCGTTGTCAGGCCTCCTGACCAGCATCCGTGGGGGACCACCGGGCTTGCTGGCTTACTGGAAAGCTGCTCTTGAAAATAATCTTGAGGGAAAGGCGAACAGTGGGATTCTAGCACACAAATGTTTCCAGATTGTAAGCCAGCCACTTCTCTTGCTCATCTCTTTGTGCCCGCACGCGGTAACCAGCCCCCTGAACTAAGAAGGTGTGGTGCGTATGCTTCCCTGAATGGGGAGTTGCCGCAGGGGTCAGTGAATGTCTTTAAGTGACATCTGTCTGTAAAGGGACATTTAGTATTTTAGGCTCCACAGGTCACATATACTCTGTCACATATTCTCACACGTACTCCCCCTTTTTTTTCTTGAACAACCTTTCAAAAATTGAAAAACAATTCTCAGCTCGAGTGCCTTCTAGATTTCCCCCGTGGCCAATAGTTTGCCTCCACCCTCCCCCCACACGCCCCCGCCAACCCCAGGGAGTTCTTTGGCAGGGGAACATGGGCACTTAACTACATAAAGTGTAAGGTTGTTCGGTCCTTGGAACCTTGACTTGGGATTTCTTTAGAAGCCTGAGGTAGGTCCTTGTAGAGGAATCCTTAGACCAGACATAGAGCAGAACTGGTTGTCTTGATTCTGGCGCCCCCCCCCCCCAACAGTAGAGCTGGACCAAACTGGCACCCTCTACTTAAAAAGTGGCTATCTGTGCTAGGAAGTCTTAACTAAGGCCCATTTAAATCTGGGCCTATGCTGGCTAATCCTTGCCTTGATTTTAAAGGCAAAATCACATAGTGCAGGCATCTGAAGTTTCATTCTCCAGGTCACTTGCTACTCCCAATGGTTGGCAGTAGAAAAGCTAATGCATAGACATACTTCCTCTTCGCTGCTGATGCCACCCACAGTCTACAGAACCCCGTCAGAGGATTCAAGGACACCAGCTCACTCTACTCCTGGGGTGTCTAAAACACTGTCCTTCGGTGGCTGGGTCTTGATAAGGACCCGTGTTTACCAGGGACCAAGCACTTAAACAGCTGGAGATGGGCGTTTCAGAAGCTGGACCTTTCACAGGGAAATTTACCTCCGTCCTCTCTGAGACCAGAGCACACACACGCCAGAGGCTGTACGAGCACACGGCTCCTCCAACCTTCCGTGGGTCTGTGAGACAAATCTGCTACCCATCACTTTTTCACTGTTAGAATATTCACTAGGAAGAGCAGAGTAAGAGAATTTGCATTTCTTTTATACATTTGTAATCTTTTCAAGTCATCAAGATACAGTATGCCATGTTTTAAATAATAAACAAGATAAACATCTAAGTTAAATAAGGGCTTCAGGATCCGAATCCGTTCTCTAACCAACAATGTCTGAAAAAGCAGCTGACGGTTCTCCACATAGACATTTGCTATCAACCAAATGAATTTCAGCGCTCTGGGGTTAAGAAACAGCCTGCATGCACACACACGCACACTCATAAAAACAACTTCACCTACAAAAACTAGGTATGAGAATTCCCAAGGCTTCTAAACAAAATGAATAGGTGTAAAACAACTGATCTCACATACGCCAATCCAGGTGTCCTCTTTAGGTTTTTGTTTAAAATGTCAAACTTGTTTTCTCCAAGTGTGAGTTTATTTCTGGTTAAAGTCAGACCCTTCTCTTAGTCTGGATTTACAGTGGGATTAACCACCACGGCCTCAGTCATGGCCATAATAGAGAGAACATGTAAGGATGGGGGTCTCCAAAGTAAAACCACAGAGGCCATTTTTAATTAAGGAGGGGACACCAACTTGACGCTGGAAGAAACTGGAGCACAATTAAGCCACTGAGAAATGCTGACGTGACTGTCAGGAGGCACAAGCTCCAGTTCTAATGACATCGAAACCCGTGAAACTTGAGGGATTTTCCAACTCACTCAAAGACATAATATTCTAAGGCTGCTGAAAGGTGGGACGGACAAAGTCATGACCTGCGGTCAGGAAAGACAATGGATGAATGGCAATGGGGAGTGTTCTACATTAAGAAGAAATGCAATGGTAAATTTTGAAGAGTGTTTTTTAAAAAAGGGCATGCATTCTCTCATCCTCTTCCCTTAGCATTTCTCTTTCACACACACGCATTCCCTCTCTTTCACACGCATTCCTTCTCCTACACACACACACACACACACACACTCACATGCACTCCTTCTACACACACATACTATCTCACACACATTCTCTCACATGTTCTCTTGTTCTCACACACACGCATTCTCTCTCATACTTTCTCTCACATACATACACATTCTCACTTTCTCACACACACATTCTTTAACACTCATTGTCACTTTCTCCCTCATACACATTCTCTCTCACTTTCTCTCACACACATCACTCTCTCTCATACACACATGTACACTGCTCTAGTCACTATTTCACATCTTCCAGGACTATCAGTTTTAAAAACAGTTACCTCCTGGTGCCTGCATTTCTCTCTCGGGTATAAATGGCTTTGAGTTTTTAAACCTACAAAGAAAACATACAGTGACAGACCTGAACAGTAAGTAAAAACTACACACCACCCTCTTTAAGTCAGAGCTTTTGAGATGGACGAAAAGAGGACTAGGATTTCCGCCAGGCGGGTTCTGGCTCTGAGAACGCGACACTCTTCAGTGCCACCTCCACTGATGGGAAGCGGCTTTGCCATTCCCTCCAACACTCCGCCAGGCAAAGCGCATCTGTTTAAAATTTAACATCCCTTAAAGAAAAGCCAAAAACCTTAGTCCATATCCTATGCAGCAGAAACGAAGTCCTTTTCCCTTTTCCCTCCACTTAAAGCTGTATACAGCACGGCTGAAGGCAACACTTTCTGGTCAGCAGAGCTCACGGACAACGGATTTTGTTTTTGTTTCAAGGAACAAAAAGGGAAAGGAAAAATGAAGCCGAGTGAGACTAAAGAGAAACCCTGAGGCAAAAATGGCTTTTCCTTCAGAAAGTCTTCCTGGGCTCTCGAGTTCGTTCCTCCGTTCAGGCAGCCATCTGGGACGGCAGGCCCTCCTCCAGCCAGAGGGTGGCGGTGGAAGCGCTGCGCGGTGGCCGCCTGTGGATGCGCCGGAGCCGCAGCAGGTAGAGCAGGATGGAGAGCAGGACCACCAGGAAGCAGCCCGAGAACAGGTAGTGATTGTAGACAAAGGAGAAGCCCCTCCAGTGCGCGTGACTGGCCCGGAAGGTCTCCTGCTGGATGTCTCTGGCCACCGGGAAACAAAAACAAACAGGACGAGTCAGGCAAGGAACGTGATGTACTGGCGCACAGGGTACGGGTCGGGGGGACCGGATGCGGGGCTCGGCTCTGAGACAAAACCTGCCATCCTGGTCTCTGGGGCTCAGTTTCCTTACCTGCGTAATGTAGGCCGCCGTGGCCCAACACAGGGTGGCTGTAACTCTTAACAGGGTGACACGTAAACGTGCCTTCAGCTATCATCACTTCAACCTGGGCCAGAAGTCAGAGGAATTTAAAAGAATGGCAAGGGTTTCGCTACAACCTGGACGCCAGTGTGGAATCACACCACCTGTTGGTGAGCAGTAATACCCACGATGCCCGCTTCTTTTGCGGCTAGCCCAGCTAAGTGGCTGGCTGGGACATGCTCAATTAAGTGAAGGGGACAAAGATCCCCCTAAAGCAAACTCCTAGCACACCAGGGCCCTTACATGGGGCCAGCTGACAGCCAGGTCTGGGAACGTGAACGGGGAAAAACGGCCGTGAGTGCAGACACCAGACTACGGGCGTGTCGGCACTGCATGTGACTCTGCCCATGGTGCAGCTCACAGGTCGTTTCGATCATGTGGCGGGGGCTGGCGTATGCCTCCAAATATCGACACTGACATCACTGTACTGCAATTACAGGAAGCACTAGTTCTGCTGCCAGATTTGTCATTTCAGCTGTGAACAAAAAACAGCACCTATTACTGTACTGCCAATAGGTTTTCTGTGAATATTTGATCAATTTGATAAATATATTTGATGTCTATACTTCAATACAGTGGTTTCCTCTGTAGCCTCTGTTATAGATTTTATACATTAAAAACAGTATTTTCAGAAGGAGGGTCCCAAGCCATTGAAGTGAAGAACCCCAGAATCAACCCTTCTGTGCAGGAGTTAGGGAAAGACACTTGGGAATAATCAGACACTTTTCATGCTGCCTCTGATGGGATAGGTGGGGTGGGAAGGATGCACTGGTGGGGAAGACCAAAGTCAAATGTCACGGACTCCCAAGTCCTGCCCACAGCCAGCGTTTGCCTCAAACACCCACAAACCACAGCTGCCATGCTTTTGTTTGATTCTTGTCACCAAATTCAGAGCTGTACCTTAAGGGTAGAAAGCGGGTCCTGTAAAGGATTGCTCCAAGGGTCCACTGAACCTCCTTGTCGTAAACTTGCAAGGCTGTCTTTAAATTTTTATAGTTGACAGGAAACGAAAAGCCCCTGTGAAACACCTCAAACATCCAGGCGGACTTGAAGCACTGATACCTACGAGCACCAAGCACAAACGTAAGTGGGCTTCATTTGCTGTCAACCTAACCGGACACTGAGACGGCCTTCCCTGTGACCAATGTGGGTGCAGAGGCTTCCCGAGCCCAGCACTGAGCAGCCAGACCACCCACATGCATTCCCCATTGATTTACTTGGTTTGTGCCACTTGTCCCACAACCCTAAACAGTTCACCTGTCAAAATCAATGAGCTCATGAAACTCGGTCTCAGGAGGATTTAATACGTGGGCATGACACACCATTTCCTCAGGCGGGCCATCACTTACTCGCTGCTAAAATGCTGAAGAAGTGTCCACTTCTTTGGACCTCAGTTTATTTATTATAAAATGAGAAGGCAGAGGTTCCTTTTCAGCTCTGATAGTCTGTGATTCTAAAAAGACTTATCAGAGGCTTACTTTTTGCAAAGTGTTGGGTTAAGTTAGTAGTAAGATATAATCAGAGAATAAGGCAGCTAATGTACTTAAATGACTTATAATGGCAGGATTTTTAAAAAGCACCAACGAACTATGAAGTAAGGCAGAATTTGATGAATGCCACTAGGGAGAAGTAATGTGTGCTCTGGAGACCGAGAGGGGTGGAGTCTCCTTGAATGGGCAGAGGAAGACGAGAGAGGGACAGCAACGTCCTGACTCTGAGGTCAGGGCAGGACTTCAACAAGCAAGGGACAGACAGGGAAACACCAGGTAGAAGGAACAGCAAAACTGAACAAAAAACTGTAGGACATATTTGGACACAAGTAGTTGTTTCTTGGAACCGTGAGGCACAGCCACCCACTGCTTACTTCAGCCTGTGGAGGTCGGCGTGTGAGGCGTACAGTCCTCGGTCAAAGCGCTCCCGCAGGACCGACCACTTCGTTGCACAATAATCCTGGAAGAAATGTCGCCCCAAATAAACCACTGGTAAATTAACAGCTTCTTCATCTTAAAAAGGGTTTACCAAATTCATATTCGTAACAAACATCTCCTTCCAATTAGGCAACACAAGCTCAACCTCTATGTGTAGCGTGAAGACCGGAGGCATGGCACCCAGCAAATGCTTACTGACTGGCGAAGACCATGCTTGTTCAGTCTTAAAAGTCTGCCAAAGTTACTGTTACAGAGAGTTTGCCTGCCCACAACCAACCTCTTCAAAACTGCTTTGTTTCCTCCTCTGTGACTGCCTGTGACTGGCAGAAACTTCTGGAAGCGTGAAGTGGTACTTCAGCTGGTTCCGAGTGGACACCTGTGTCTGAAGTTACACAGTGCAAGGCTCGGGGAACACCAAGCTGATTACAGAAGGCTGTGTCTTTAGGAGAAGGCAAAGAGGGGCCATCTTTCCCTGAAGTTACTTGTAACAATATATTTTTTAAAAGTTTATTTGTTTTGAGGGAGAGAGAGTACACACACATGTGGCTGGGGGAGGAGCAGAGGGAGGGAGAATCCCAAGCAGACTGCACCGTCAGTGAGGAGCCCGACTTGGAACTCGAATTCACAAACCGTGAGATCATGACTTGAGCCAAAACCCAGAGTTGGACACTTAACTGACTAAGCCACCCAGGTGCCCCTCTAATAATACTAATAGCTAAGATTTAAGGAGTACTAAGTGCCTTTTCTGAGTGTAATACTTAAAGCCACTGCTTGGCATGGCTATAATTCCAGCCTCAATTTCAAGGATGAAGAAACTGAGGCTCTGAGAGATGGTGAAACTTGCAACAGGGAACACAGAACAACACTCAGTGTGGGGTGAGAGGTAAGGACAGGCAGTTAGGGCAGAGAAAACACCGTGAATGAAGACAAGATGCAAAGCAGCTTGGACGTCAGGGAAACGAGTAGCTATGATTAGAGTAGGTCATGCAAGATGGGAAGAGGGGGCTCCAGGGTTGGGGGGGGACATGCTAAAGCATTTGTGATTTATCCTCATACAAAAGAAACTGCTGAAGACTGTAAATAGGGGAGGGGGCTTGTGGTTTGGACAGGTGTGTCTCTGGGAGTGGCGTGAGCAATGAATGACAGAGGGAGACCGGATGCAAGAAGCCAGCTGGGGGCTCCTGAAGTAGCACAGGTGACAGACGCAGGCCCCACCAGGCCAGTGAGAGCAGGACAGAGAGCAGGGAGGGCTCTGAGAAATGATGACGGATAAAATAATGTGCCTGATGACTGATTATGGGGGGTGCTCAGCGAGGGAGGAATGAGTGGCAGGGAGAAGTCTAGAACTCCTGAGTTTTGGTGGACTGGGTGGCCAGGGATGCCATTAACCAAGACAACATCACAGGAAATGGGGAGAAAGCAGTGGGTTTGCTTTGGGTCATGAAAACTAGGGGGCACCGGGCTCGGAGGCTGGGGCCTCTTCTTGGAGGGCAGCAGCAGCGAACCATGGGCATGGGAGAGAGCTGGAGGGCCCACGGGCCAAGGATGGAAGTCCAGGATCACCAACGTTCGGAGGGTATGAAGGCGGGGAATCCCTGACAGAGCCTAGGAACGCGTCAGGCCGGGGCCAAGAAGAGGACAGGGGTCCTCAGCGGAGGGACAGGAGGGCTGCAGGAGTAGGGCGAGACACCAGTGGCGGTACTACACGGAGATCTACAAGTCTGTCGCCTGGGAGCCACTGGCCATCGGAGCAGTGCCCGGAGTGGTGGGCAGACGCCGGCTCACTGCGGATCTGTGACTCCTGCCGGGACTACCTCTCTCGCTCAGCCAAGGAACAGGATCCCCGACAGGTGGCACTACATCCTTCCACCCCCCACCTTCCCCCGTTCTTGAGCTGGGCCTGCCAGGGTCAAGGGGGGACCCAGGCTGCCAGCGTCTACACCATCTCTCAAAAGCATGCAGGGGAAGAGGGTTTCTTTGCAGGTTACCTTTGCAGCTTTAGTGAAAGTAGCAGCGTTGTAGTCCCCCCCCATTCGTAACACGTCCTCAGTGCAGTAGTAGAACTCCGAAAAGCCATAGAATTCACTGTTCTGGAAGTGAATGGGGGGCTGGTAGACCCCGTTGAGGGAGGTCTGTGTCTCGTTTGTTTTATTCATGAAAGGCTGGATGGTCTCTCGGCACAGGTCAAAGTCTCCTGTTCCCCGGAGGTACATGGTCTGCCCACTTTGCTGGATTTCATCTCTAATGTCCAGGGGTAAGCAGGGGTCCAGGAATGGAGTGTCAGGAGCCAGACCCGTCTGCTTCCCCAGGAGCCTACAGGACCAAGAGAAACTTGATTTGAGACTGACAGAAAGCCGGGTTTTCAAGAAGCACCCGCAAGCCCGCGTCTCTCAAGATGTGCTCTGTGGAACATGAGCCCTGCAGGGTGCCCTGGGGGAACACAAAAGGGTTCCGGGATAGTGAGGTCAGGGAAACAGGTACCTAGCCCCTCTTGGAGAATCACCACCCAACCACATGCGCAGATACAGCAGATACCTGCGCAGACGCTGGAACAGGGTCCAGCAAAACAGCTACCTGGTCAGATTACCAGTGCTTTCTGACCCTGGCACACGGCCTGGTACTCTCGGCCCGGGTGCCTGTGGTTCTGGAGCTCCTCGCAGTCTCAAGTTCACTGCAGCGAGATGCCTACCAACTGCGTTATTTCCAAACCTGTTCCGCCACTACTGCTTGCGAGTGTAACCATACAGAGATGAGGACAGAAGTAACTGGCCCCGTGTAAGCCAGGTTAGATGTCTTAGAAAAACACGATAAAGGCAAGTTACTCGAAAACTGCTGTCAAGTTCAGTATTAGCATGGTTTAAAAAAATTTGAGAAACTCTGAAAAGCCAAACTTTAAAAATCAAATTCTTTTACAAATGTCTGTTAAGCCCTTGGTAATCTTTAAAGAAGCCAAAATGACACCAAGATGAGTAGGTGCAGTGCACGCAGAGAGATGACAGGTGTAGCCTAAGAAGAGACCTGAGTCCACAGCAAAGACTGGAAAATGAACATGTGAATTAAAACAAGATGCCTGTGGTTTGATTCAATTTTGATCCTCTGTTTTAACTATTTTTTTTAAAGTTTGTTCATTTTTGAAAGAAAGAGAGACAGACAGACAGAGAGAGACAGAGCGCGAGCAGGGGATGGGCTGAGAGAGAGGTAGACCCAGAATCTGAAGCAGGCTCCAGGCTCCGAGCTGTCAGCACACGGGGTTCTAATTCACCAACTGCAAGATAATGACCTGAGCCAAAGTCGAATGCTCAACTGACTGAGCCACCCAGGTGCCCATGTTTTAACTGATTTTTAAAAATCAATCAACTGTTGGTCCCAATTGCTGTAGATAAGAGTGTTTCTATCACACTACAGGCTCTGAGAAGTCCCATGGAAATCTTAACTGTCTACTGAAATGAACTGCGCTTATTGACTTCGCAGTGAAACTTCCCTGCGCTAAGATCTGTCACCCCATTACGTGTACTTCCCGCTACGCAGTGAGGAACATGAAACAGTTTACAACAACTGGACCCACGTTAGAGTTTGATACCGTGACATCACATGGGCCAAAAAGGTGTTTCCGTACTAGGAGACTGCCACTCAACTGACAGGTCCGTTACTCCTAAACTCAGGTCAACTCAAAATGGACTTGAATGTAAAATATTAAGGTCTTTGCCATTAAATAAAAATATCTAATTTTTAAAACTCAATTGCTACTAACGGCAAAGAAATATCGATGCATTTCAAGGCTCAATTCATGTGTAAAAAGTGATGACTAACATTTCTAGTAATTATCAGAGTCCAAGAATAGTGAATGTACTTCAACACTACTGTTTTTAGTTGCCCTACATCTAAATTAAAAAGTACCACTGAATTGTCCATTATACAAGTTTCCTCACAGTAACATCAATTAGTGAAAATTAACATTGCAGAAGGTGTTTCTCCAAAGTTCTAATTCATGGGGTACCTGGGTGGCTTAGTTGGCTAAGTGGCCAACTCTTGATTTCAGCTCAGGTCATGATCTCACGGTTTGTGAGCTTAAGCCCTGCATTATGCTCTGCGTTCATTGCAGAGCCTGCTTTGGATCCTCTATTGCCCTGTTTCTGGCCTTCTCTGGCTCATGCTCTCTCTCTCAAAAATAAATAAACATTAAAATTCAAAATCACTTATAAAATATTTCTATTTTAGGACTATTATAGAAAATAATTATACCAAAATGTACTGTGTAATACACCATGTTTAAAAAGAAAGTATGGGACTACCCATCTCTCTCTCTTTTTTAAGTTTATTTATTTATTTTTGAGACAGAGATAGTGTGAGTGGGGGAGGGGGTGGAGAGGGAGAGAGAGAATCCCAAGTAGGCTCTGCACTGTCAGCACAGAGCCTAATGTGGGGCAGGAACCCACAAAGCCATGAGATCGTGACCTGAGCCAAAACCAAGAGTCAGGTGCTTAACTGACTGAGCCCCCATGTGCCTTGGGACTGCCCATCTTTTTTTTTTTTTTACTCTCTCTCTCCTTAAAAAAAAATTTTTTTAATGTTTTTATTATTGAGAGACAGACAGAGACAGAGCATGAGCATGAGAGGGGCAGAGAAAGGGGGAGAGACACAGAATCTGAAGCAGGCTCCATGCTCTGAGCTGTCAGCACAGACCAACGCAGGGGACTCTCAAAACTCACAAACTGCGAGCCATGTCCTAAGCTGAAGTCAGATGCTTAACCAACTGAGCCATCCACATGCCCCAGGACTACCTATCTCTTAACTAACACCACTCAGTTAAGGTCTGGGGCAGAAAAATAAGTTTTTATTGCTCTTCCTATTCACATACGTGAATTTCTGGAAAGTATGGTACTGAATGGCTCTGACTTGGCCATTCTTAAAGTTCAGGCCTCTCCAGGCTTACTAAGATTAAACTGATGAAGGAACTATATACCACCATTTATCTTTATGAATTAGGATTTTTTTCCCCTCAAAATTGCTCATCTAAACAAAGAAAACAAAGCATAGCAATTAATATAATATTTTATACAACCCCAGGTTTCAGATATTTTTATTCATCCAAACAGCTCTGCTCTTATGAACTAATTTCAAATAAATAACTGCAATATACTTATGCTTATAAAGTAAACTTATACTGATAGAGCATTGCTCTTGTTCTGTATATCTTCTATACCAGAATTCTTCATAAACTCATTTTAAAAAATTACACTGTTAAAACTGTTTAAAACCACTAATTTAAGACTTCTGGATCACTTCTTTCTCTTGAATAATTTCCTGCCCTATGGTTTAAATCACTGAGTAACTGCACAGGCTGTTTTTCCAGACCACCACCAGAACATAACTTAATTCCCTTCTGTCATTGGTGACAATTTTATTGTCACATACCGCTGGCCCCCAGGACATCTGCAGCAGCCCAGGTGCTGAGTTTCCCAAGGACTCTGCAATGCAAAATACACCACCCAGGGCTCAAAGCTTCTACTATGTTAACAGTGAAACTTCTAACCCAGAGGGCTGTGGATTTGAGGCTGAAGGCAGGACCTCGGTGCCCTTTCCTTTCTCAGCTGGCAGGGGAGTTGAAGGTGAAGGTGCTGACACACTTCTGCTGCTTGAGGTCTCCCTGCTTTGCCCGGAGTGGTTTTCTACAAGTAGAGACCGAGATATGAAAGTGAACGCTGAGAAGTAGAAGGCGCTTTACCTGTTCTTTTGAACGGTGTTGGCAAATATTCGGTCTTCATATCTCTGTCGAGCAGCATTGCCACCAAACCCAAGAAACGTGGCTACGTAGACCCGGTACACATGCTCGGTTTGGTGAACATCGCACCCCAAGTTAAATTCGGCTAACAAGTTCTTAGCAACTTCTTCCTGCAGATGCAAGGATAAAACACTTTAATATTTTAAGCAATACCAAAACAATCACCTCCTGTGAAAAAGAAGGATCTATAAAGATTCTCATCTAAAAGTAGCAAAAGTTTCTGCTTCTGCCTTTCCCGAGGACCCTTCTAAGCAACCATCCAAATTCAATATGACAATTCTGACTTAAGAAATTCCAGATATGCTGCACATCTGTGATACTGTTACATTCTGTAACCGGAAGTGAGCGCTAGAGTTCATATCCCCCAATCTAGAAAGCCTGCTTATGGAAGCCTATGCTTTAGAAATAATTCTAACCACTGAAAAGTCTCTATACACAAATATGACCTCAGCGATTCTGTGAGAGAATAAAACTGAGTGTCATCTAAATCTATAACTTCAAAGGGGGTTAGTTAATTATGGTAATCAATACTTTATGCAGAAACATGCTTATACCCTATTAAACAAGGGATGCAAAATTTTGTAAACAGTAATATTATAACAACCATATTTTAAAAAACTATAAATAGGAAAAAAATGAATGAAAAGAAATACAAAATGATAACCATGGTTTTTTTGGGGTGATGCATCCATGAAAATGCACCCTGATTTTTTAGTATTTTTTCCAAACTTGCTATGTTGGTTGGTTGTCTGTTTTTGCTTTATCTTGAGGGGGAAAACATGACTTTTAAGAGAGTGTAACAGTTTCTAGAGGCGTGCCTGGATGAGAAGTAGGAAACACAAATTATAATACTTGAATTTACAAAGCATTTTTCTTAAGAGCTTAATAAATATACCAGTAACATTTAGTGAGTGAACACTAGGTGCCTGGTGGTACATTAGATATATTATCTGCACTACAGCATTTCAACTTTATAATAACCCTGTGTGAGAGATAACTGCATTCACATTTACAGATGAAGAACCGAGTTCAAAGAACTTAAGCGATGTGCATAAGGTTACACAACTAGTGAAACCAGCGTGATGAAGGAGCCTAGACTCCAGCCTTCTTAACCACTACACTATATGTGAGGGGAAAGTGCAGGAAACCAGGCTTTGGTGGTAATTTACAGCTGAGTAGAAACAGAATCATAGAGACCGTAGCAGTTCAGGAACACATGTGGAAACCTTTCTGGTTCTCACTGCGCAAGGCTGCCCAGCCTACTGGGAAACTACAGGCTGTGACAGAGAGCCCTGAAAGCCACTGAGAAAAACAGGGGAGACCTACAGTTCAGAAATGTGCAAGCAGTGCATACAAACCTCAATCCTTTCCAGAAAAGTCAAAAGCTGAGTCTTAAAAAAAAAAAAGTACATTCCTCAATATAACTTAAGAAATATGATGCTATTAACATTGTTTTATAATATCTGTTGAGAAAAGAAGTGACTGAAGAGAAAATACAAACAAAAATTCAAGCATGTGACTGACATTTATACCAAACGAAAACTCTGAAGTTCAGAAAACAAACCAGCCGACTTCAATGAACAAACACAAACGGAGGTTTGCCTGGCTTCCTCCTGACTCCTTTCTCCTGGGTTGGGAAGGTGGGACCTCAGCAAGCATAGTAAGGATGTGTTCAGACTCAGAAAAAACAAAATGGATGGAGACATGTTAAAGGAAAACCAAAGCAAATGGAAGAAAATTTGACAGATAATAACCTGCTGTGAGGAGGCAAAGCTTACAGTTTTGGGAACTTCGTATGCTATCTGGGTTGACACGCCTCCCATGTCGAGAATACCGGCTGTCCTTTTACGGAGAATGGCTTCCCTACTTTCGCTACCAGGAATGTTAACCTCCACAACTGCCTCTTCGTCTGCAAAGAACAAGAAACAGCCGTTGGAACAGAACAAATCCAGGGAACTGGGACCTTGTGTGTGGAGGGTTTCTTGTCTTCATGGGACTTTCGAGCCTACCTAGGCAAACGCAGCCCACTCCTCCCACCTGAAGTCAAGTTAATGGTGTGAAATGGCAGCCCCCCTCTCTGCTCCAATACACTCAGCTGTGTCACAAAACCTCACTCCTTTTCTATCCTTGGATTAGACAGAACAGCCATCATTTCCAGTCAGACACATTATTTGGAAACATGATACTTACCATCTTCAATATGTTCGAATCGTCCAAGGACAAAATTAATGCCGATCCAAGCATACACACCTACAGACATTTCACAGGGTGAAGAGAAGAAGAAGAAAGTCTTAAGGTATTTTTGTACAACTCTTACCAATGCGTTCTGTGCAAACAACTCATTTCCTTTACTCCCTGATGACCTGTGAAAACATCATCTGAAATAATGCATATGTTTTCCTAGTATTTTTTTCCGAGACCTCTCAACTTTAAAATTTACAGTTTCTTATCAATTACACAGGTAAAAATTCCCTTGGTGCTAGTTTTCATTTGAAACTATTTTGAAATAATGGAGTTTTTACTTTATCAAGTTAAACCCATCAATCACAAGGTTCTAAAAACAAAGCAACTTTGACTCTTCTACTTCCTTCTTCCCTCATTTCCACTCAGTTGCTGAGCCTGATTCTCTTTGCAACATTCCCTACCCAGTCATTACCCAATTTCAATTCTACCTGGATTTAAGCCATCACAGAGACCTCGTCAACCTTCCTGCCCTCCTCTTCCACTCCAACCCATTCTGTTCTCCGCTACTGGTCTGACAATCTAAGACCTGTCCAACTTTTTGTTTTTACTGAATAGATATGACGTGCAACATTTGTTAAGTCTGAGGTATACAGTATGTTACTTTGATACATCTATATGCTGTCCTATAAATGCCCTTGTAATACTTTCACATCACAATATGTGTATAGCATTACTGTCTATACTCCTTGCACTGTGCCTTAGAAATCTATGGCTTATTTATTACTTGTTATAAGTTTGCACCCTTAAATACCACCAATCTTATCATTCCTCCTTTCCTGGTAACCACCATTTTACTATTTTTTATGGGCTTTATTTTAAAGACTTTTTTAAGAAAGCCTATTTATTTTGAGAGAGAGAGAGAGAGAGAGAGAGAGAGAGAACATTGTAAGCAGGCTCCACACTGTCAATGTGGAACCCAACACAGGGCTTAAACCCATGAACTGTGAGATCATGACCTGGGCTGGACGCTTAACTGACTGAGCTACCCAGGTGCCCCAGGTTTGACTTTTGCAGATTCCACAAGTAAGTGGACGTATCTCACTTAGTAAGTATACTGTGCTCAAGCTCCATCCACCTTGTCACAAATGGCAGGATTTCCTTTCTCATGGCTGCATAATAATCCATTATGTATATGTACTACATCTTTTTAAACCATTCATCTGTTGATAGGCAGTTGGGTTGTTTCTCTATCTTGGCTCCTGTAATGAATGCTGTGGTAAACCCGGGAGTGCAGACATCTTGCTGAAATCCTGTTTTTGTTTTCTTTGGGTTTATTCCCAGAAATGGACTGACTGGATTGTACCACCTATTTCTAATTTTTTGAGGAACCTCCATATTGTTTTCCATGGTGCTTGGACCAATTTACATCCCTACCTACAATGTATACGGGTTACCTTTCCACCACATTCTTGCCAGCACCTGCTATCTTGTCTTCCTGATGACAGACATTCTAACAGGTATGAGATGAAATTTCATTGTGGTTTTTCTTTGTGTTTCCCTGATGACTAGTGACGCTGAGCATCTTTTCATGTGCCATTTGGCCATTTTAACGTCCTTTCTGGAAAATGTCTATTAGTTTCTTAATCAAATTTTTCCTTAATTTTTTTTTGTCATCAAGTTGTATGAGATCTTTATATATTTTGGATATTAAACTCTTATCCACTATTTGCAAAATTATTTCCCATTCTGTAGGTTGTCATTTCATTTTACTGTGCAGTAGCTTCTGAGTTGATATAGTCTCATTTGTTGGCTTTTGCTTTTGTTGTTGATGCTTTTGGCGTCATGTCCAAGAAATCATTGCCATGGCCAATATTGATGAGTTTCTTGCCTACATTTTCTTCTAGGAGTTTATGGTATCAAGTCTTAGGTTTCTCTTTGGTTCTTTTTGAATTCATCTTTGTGAGTGGTGTGAGACAGCGGTCCAATTTCTTTGTTCAGCACGTGTTTATCCAGTTTTCCCAGCACCACTTGTTAAAGAGACCATCCTTTTCACTACTGGGTGTTGGCTGTATATGCTTGGATTTAATTCTGGGCTCTCTATTCATTCCATTGGTCAATGTGTCTCTTTTTGTGCCAGTAACAAACTATTTTTTTTTTTATAACGTTGCTTTGTACAATAGCCTGAAATTGGAAGCATGATACTTCCAGCTTTGTTCTTTTTTCTCAGGATAGCCCTGGCTATTAGGGGTCTTTTGAGATACCACACACATTTCAGGATTGCTTCGTCTATTGCTGTGAAAAATGCTTTTGGCATTTTGATGGGGACTGTATTAAATCTATAGATGGGTTGAGTAGTATGGCAATTATAACAAAATTAATTCTTGTGACCCATGAATGTGGGTTGTCTTTCAATTTGCCTTCTTCCATTTCTTCCAGCCAAGTCTTGTAGTTTCTGTGGTAAAGATCTTCCACCTCCTTGGCTAAATTTATTTCTATTTTATTGTCTTTGCTGCCACTGGGAACAGGACAGTTTTCTTTCTTTTTCAGAAAAGAAAAAGTCATTAGTGTAAAGGAATGCAATTGATTTCTGTATGTTGGTTTCGTATCTTACCACTTTATTGAAATTGTTGATTAATTCAATGATTGACAGCTTCTGGCAGACTCTTCAGGATTTTATATATATTAGATCATATCATCAGCAGATAGTGACAATTTTACTTTTTCCTTTCTGATCTGGATGCATTTTCCTTCTTTATCTTGCCTAATTGCTCTAGTAAGATGTCCAGTACTACACTGAATAGGAGTGATAAGAGTAGGCGTCCTTATCTTGTTCTTGATCTTAAAGGAAGTGCTTTCAATTTCTTTCCACAGAGTCTAAGGTTAGCTGTAAGTCTGTCATAAACGGCTTTTGCTATGTTGAGATGCATTTCTTCTATACCTAATCTGTTCAGGATTTTTATCATGAAAGGATACTACATTTTGTCAAATATTTTTCTGTGATGTTTTGAGATGATGCCATGATTTTTATTTTTCACTTTATTGATGTGATATATAATTTATTGATGTGTGTGTGTTGAATCATCCTTGCATCTCAGTGATAAATTTTACTTGGTTATGGTGTATAATCCTTTTAATGTGTTTTTGAATTGTTTGCTAGTATTTTGTTGAGAATTTTTACATCTATATTCATCAGGGATACTGGTCTGTAGTTTTCTTGTGTTATCTTTATTTGGTTTTGGTATTAACATAATGCTGGCCTCACAAAATGAGTTTAGAAGTTTTCCCTCCTCCTTAATATTTTAGAAAATTTTGAGGGGAATTGGTATCAACTCTTTAAATGTTTGGTAGAATTCTCCAGTGAAGCCATTTGGTCTTGGAATTTTCTGTGTTGGCAGTTTGATTATGGATTCAATCTCTTTACTCATTATTGGTCTCCTCAGATTTTCTATTTCTTCCTATTCAGTCTTGGTAGGTTGTAGGTTTTAGAAATGCATCCCTTTCTTCTAAGTTACATAATTTATTGGTATAGAATTGTTCACAGTACAGTTGAGCCTTGAACAATGTGCGTGTCAGGGGCACTGCCCCCCCCCCATGTTAACTTTTGATTCCCTAAAAACTTGACTACTAACAGCTTAGTGTTGATCAGAAGCATACTAAGTGTTGCTAAGAAGATCGTAAGAAAAATACATTTATAGTATTGTACTGTATTTACTGAAAAAAATCCACATATAAGTGGTTTTATGCAGTTCAATCCCAAATTGTTCAAAGGTCAGCTGAAGTCTCATGGTCCTATGTATTCCTGTGGTGTCAGGTGTAATGTCTTCTCTTTCAGTTTTAACTTTTTTTTTTAGTCTAGCTAAGGGTTTATTAATTTTATCTTTTTGTAGAACCAGCTCTTAGTTTCATTGATCCTTTCTAAGGATTTTCTGTTCTCTATTTCATTTATATCCATTCTGATCTTTATTATTTCCTTCCTTCTGCTAACTTTGGGCTTCATTTGTTCCTTTTCTAGTTCCTTGAGATATAATGTTATATTGTTTGTTTGAAATCTAATTTTTTATAATATGCTTTTATTGCTACAAACTTTCCTCAGAACTGCTTTTGCTACATCCCACAATATTTTCAATGTTCTCTTTCCATTTGTTTTGAGACACTTTTTAATTTCCTTTTGAATTTTTCTTTGATCCCCTGGTTTAGAAGTATGCTGTTTAATTTCCGCATATTTAGGGGCACCTGGGTGGCTCAGTCGGTTGAGTGTCCGACTTCAGCTCAGGTCATGACCTCACTGTTGTGGGTTCGAGCCCCACATCAGGCTCTGTGCTGACAGCTCAGAGCCTGGAGCCTCCTTCAGATTCTGTCTCTCTCTCTCTCTCTGCCCCTTCCCTGCTCATGCTCTCTCTCAAAAAATAAAACGTTTAAAAAATTTTCCACATATTTGTAGATTTTCTCACCTTCCTCTTGTTGATTTCTAGTTTCATACCATTGTGGTTAAAAAGACATGGCATGATTTCAGTCTTCTTAAACTTGTTAAGATTTCCTCTGTGTCCCTGACACAGGAGCTATCCTGGAGAATATTCCAAGTACACTTGAAAAGATGTGTATTTTGCTGTTTTAGGATGGAATGTTCTGTATATGTCTATTATGTCCATTTGTGCTAACATGTGGTTCAGTTCCTATGTTTTCCTTGTTGATTATGTCTGGATGATTCATCCATTGCAGACAGCAGGATTCTGCAGTCCCCTGTGGGGAGCATATATGCTAATGTTACATCTTCTTAATGTACTGGCCCACTTATCATTACAAAATGACCTTCTTTGTCTCTTGTTACCCTTCAGTGTTCAAGTAGATTTTGTCTGATATGAGTATGGCTATGCCTACCTTCTTTTGGTTTCCATCTGCTTGGAATATTGTCTTCTATCCTTTCACTTTGAGCCTATGTGTGTCTTCAGAGCTAAAGCGGGTCTCCTGTAGGTGGCATAAAGTTGGGTCTTGTTTTTTTAATCCAGCTATTCTGTGACTTTTGATTGGTGAATTCAATCTGTTTACATTTAGGGTGACTGTTGATATATAAGGTTTTACTACTGCCATTTTATGTTTTGCCTTCTGGTCATTTTTTATTTAAAAAATTTTTTAATGTTTATTTTTTTATTTATATTTTTTAATGTTTATTTTTGAGACAGAGTGAGAGATAGAGATGGACAGAGCATAAATGGGAGAGGGGCAGAAAAAGAGGAGATACAGAATCTGAAGCAGGCTCCAGGCTCTGAGCTGTCAGCACACAGCCTGATGCAGGGCTTGAACTCACAAGCCTGAGTTTGATCATGACCTGAGCCAAAGTGGGATGCTTAACTAACTGAGCCATTCAGGCACCCCTGGTTATTTATTTATTTTTTAAGTTTATTTATTTTGAGAAAGAGAGAAAGCAGCGGAGGGGCAGAGGGAGAAAGAGAGACTTTCAAGCAGGCCCTGCACTGTCAGTGTGGAGCTCAATGCAGGGCTCAAACTCACAAACTGTGAGATCATGACCTGAGCCAAAATCCAGAGCTGGACCCTTAACTGAAGCATCCCTTGCCTTCTGGTTATTTTCTTCCTCCCCTGACTCCCTCCCCCACTTATGTTTATGTTTATCTTTAAGTTTGTGGTTTTCCATGGTTTCCAGGATTTGCTCATGATTTTGTGTCTCTCTGCTTTGATGTTTGCTCCGTGGTTACCATGAAGTGTACATAAAGCATCCCACAGACAGAACAGTCTTTTTCCACTGATAGCAATTTCTCTTCATTTGCCTATAAAGTTTCCATGCTTTACTCTTCCCCTTTTATAGTTCTGATGTCACAAATTATCTTTTTATGCTGTGATGTTGTGACCAAGTGGTAGTAGCTATAGTTATTTTTAATGCTCTTTTCCCTTTTAACTTTATACTTGTTTTATATGCTATTCTAAAAAAGTTAGTTTTCTTTTTCTATTTATCACCTTAATTAGACTTTTGTGCACATTCATCATTTCATTTCAGCTTGAAAAGCTCCTTTCAGTGTCTTGGAAGGTGGTCTGGAGGGGGTGAACTCCTTTAGCTTCTGTTTCTCTGGAAGAGCCTTTATTTCGCCTTATATCTGAAGGATAACTTTGCCAGAAACAGTATTCTTGGCTGGCTATGTGTATTTTTCAATACTTTAAAAGTGTCATTCCATGCTCACCTGGCCTACAGAGTTTCTGGTGAGAAATCTGCTGATAACTTGATGAGATTTCCTTCGTAGCTTACTGTCTTTTACTCCCTGGCTTCCTTAAAAATAATTTATCACTGACTTTTGACAGTTTTATTTATTTATTTATTTTTTAAACAGTTTTATTTTTTTTTAATTTTTTTTTTAATGTTTTATTTATTTCTAGGAGAGAGAGAGACAGCTTGAGCAGGGGAGGGTCAGAGAGAGAGGGAGTCACAGACTGAAACAGGCTCCAGGCTCTGAGCTGGCAGTCAGCACAGAGCCCGACGCGGGGCTCGAACCCACGAACCGCGAGATCATGACCTAAGCGGAAGTCGGACGCTTAACCGACTAAGCCACCCAGGCGCCCCCTGACAGTTTTAATGCAACACGTCTTGGAGAGGGTCTTTTTTGCACTGAGATAAAGAAGCTGGTCTATTAGCTTCTTAGACTTATGTATCCAGTTCTTTCTCTGGGCTTGGGACGTTTTCTATTACACCTCTTTAAATACGCTCTCTGCTCCTTTCTCCCTCTCTTCTCCTTCTGGGGTACCCTTTAAAATTATGTTGGGAGTCTGATAGTTCTTACAGGGTCACTTTACTTTTTAAAAATCTTAGTTCTCGCTCCTCTTCAACAGGAAACAGTTCTATATCCCCGTCCACAAGTTGCTTATTCTCTCCTCCATCCACTCTATTTCCAATGGTTTTTAGTGCATTTTTCATCTCATGTATTGAATTCTTCAGCTCCACATTCTGTTCAGTTCTTTAGAATTTTAATCTCTTTGGTAAAGTTCCCCTCAGTTGATTAATTTTATTCCTGAGATCACTCTACTGCTTGGCTTTTTTCTTGTAGCTCAAATGAATTTCTTTATAACAGCTATTTTGAATTCTGTACCAGTTAGATTTGAATATTCTGTATCTTTGGGTTCCATTACTAGAAAACGGCCATGTTCTTTTTGTGATACCGCATTAACATCATTTTTCAACATTTGACATAAAATGGCTCTTTCTGCTGAATTTCAAGTAGTGAACACCTTTCTTATATACATAAGGCTTTTTTTACTTGGAGTCTAACAGTTCAACAGGTTGGTAATTTTAAAAAGGATGACTGCAGAGTTGGTAAAGGTGTGTGCTTAGTACTTGGGGCTTTGAATGTGCCCACAGCCTGCTAGGGGATCCTCAAAAGGTTGGGGGGGGGGGTGTTCCAGAGATCCATGGGTGATCCTCTGGCCAGAATCCTGGGGCAGACAGCAGGAAGCACATTCCTTCAGTTCTCCGTGCCTTCCTCCTTTCCCTTTCCCTCCTCTTAGTCACTGGGATCTCTGCTCAGAGAGAGCAACAGGTCCCACCATGTGCTGTCAGGTAACCCCTCCCCCCTCCCCCCACACACACCCCTTCACCCTCCATCTCCTCTGCTAGAAAATTTGTGTTGGTCCACTGCTGCCCCTGTTGCCTCTTGTCTGGCTCCACAGCCTCCTCTGAGGTGCAAGCCACCCACTTTCAGAGGGACAGATTGCTTGGGTGTGCTTTCTGGGCTATGGATGTCTGATTAGTTATAAATCAAAAGGGAGAGAGAAAAGCAACAACTCATGCCGCCATGGGGCTGGCGCCACCGAGACCAGTTCCAACTCTTCGAATGACTACCACCTTTGCAAAGGGCCGTAACCCACTCAAACGAAAACACTTTTGTTTCCCCATCCATCATGCAGCCTTTCTAACCTGTGTTGACTCAAATAATTTCCTCAGCCTGGAATGTGCTTCCTATCCCTCCCTCAAAGCCCCACCCTTACCATGCTCTGGCATGCTTTTAACCATACACGGGGGCACAGTTCAAATGTCACTTGCTCCCTGAGGTACCTGGCTACAAAAAAAACCAAAATGTCTCCCTCTTTCAAACTCCCATGATACTTCTTCCTTACTCTCCTCATGGCGCCTAAGACTCTACCTTATAGAGCGGCCAACTGTGTGCCTCACTGGTCTGTAAACAGCTTAGTGGCAGTATCTGAATTTCACCCAGTGTGTATTTTCTACAGTGCCTTTCACAGAGGAGGTATTTGCTGAAATGATAGATGATTTTGAAATAAATGCTTTTGGTTTCCATTTCTAGCAAGCTGTTCCCCAAATAATTTCATTGACTTGTCATTTCATTCTCAAGTTGAAGCATTTCTTTGAAAACAGAACTAATGTTTTCTCAGGATATCAAAGTCAAGAATAATTTCCCTTTGTAGCAAGTAAATCAATAGAAGGCTCCAATAACTCAGGAATTATCATAACTCCATGAAGCTGTACAACTTAGGCAAGGAACACAAACCTTTTCTATCAAAACGAGTCCAGAATATGTTTCCTAAATGTAGTGAAGAAAAACTAAGTTATTTTTCTAAAGGCTTAATGTTTGGATAATAAAGACTGGTCGTATAAGACTTTCATTTGGCCACTTAAAAATACTATTTCCAGGCTATGATTTCCTAAATTTTAAGACATTCAAATTATTTTAATAAAGTGTGCGCTGGGGAAAAATGGGGAAGACTTAAAATAAGAACTTCCCAAATTTCAAGTTGAAGACCAAAATACCAACCTTCTTGTTTCCCTGAAATTACTTCTGCATGAGAGTCAGAAAACAGAAAGTCAAAGTGAACGGGGATGTCAGTCAGAAGGTCTTCCAAGATGGCTTTCTGCTGGCTGTAAGAGAAGCCCCAGATTTACATCTCAAAATACATCCCAAGCTTTTGTTTTAAAAAATGAAACAAAACAAAAGACAACAAAAACTCTGGCTCTGGTACGTCTTATATGAAAACAGTACATTTTAAAACCAGAGCGACTCATTGAAAACACTGTTTATTTTAGGAAGGAATTTCACGAGTTGTGTGAATTCTGTGACTCCTAGACATAAAACTACAACTGCAACCCTTACACTTACAACACGGAAAATCCAGTTTTTTAATGACAACTTTATAGTTTACAGTTTAGAGTAATAAACAAATAAATAAATGATTTTTGGTGAGTTCCAGCTAAGGGAATAGTTCTGGTACTATTCCAAATGTGAAGAAGGAATTTTTAATGTCTTCCTTTTGGTGATGATAACGGAAGGGGAGGAGGAGAAAGAAAAGGGACAGAAGGAGGGAAGGGGAGAAAAATAAACCACCACCAACAGCACCACCACCACCTCCCCAGCCCTGGCCTCACATGGAGGATCACCTTTCAGGAAGGATTCTCATTCCAGCTGTGCAGAGAACGTAGAGAGGCGTCTCTTTGTGTTTTGCCCTTGGTACATGCTCTGCAGCAAAGTTCAAGAGCGGAGAAATGTAATCACTGACTTTCTCCGGAGAGGTAGCAAATTCTGAAATGCCTACAGAAAAAGGACACTTCCATTAACAAGGAGATGGTTAACTAGTAAGTTATGTTTCTTCAATGTGGCTAATTTGAGAGAAACTCAAGCTACGTGCCACCCTCTCCTGGTTTTTCCCTATCCTTCTAGCAACAAACTCTCTTTCTTCAATGATGGTGGTACTGAATGTTCAGTCCTATGCTCTCTTCTCAGTCTCTGAAAAACTGAGACCCAACTGAGCAACTAGTACGCGTCAGACCCTGGGATCAACTGCACGTGAGCTCACGTCTGCCCTCGAGAACACGTTCCCACTCTGTTCAGGCAAGTACGCTCAGTCCCATGGCTGCCACACCGTCTATGTGTCTCGGATCTCCAAGTCTTACCAGCAGTCACCAGATCTCATTCCCAGCCTCCAGATCAGTATGTGGTGACTGTCCACAGCACAAGCCTCAAACTCAACGTATACACATAAGACAGATCTGAACTCAACTTCCACCTTGTAGTTACCTACCCCAGGGACCACCATCATTGGCCACCCAGCGGCCTGAGCCAGGATCCCAGATAAAATCCCTCTCCCTCCCCTAATATGCATTCTGGGCCTCACTGATCTTCCTGGTTCCTCTCACATTATTTCTTCTCTCCTCGTCCCTCCTGGCAGCCTGACACAACACATCCTACCCTCCAGTCCTGGTGATCCCTCGACCATTCCCTAAGCAAACGGTGTCTTTCTGGCTTCAAATCTGAGAAGTTCCCCAATTTCTCATTTCACAGATTAGGAAACTGTGGATCCAGAAAGATGTAGTGATTTGTCAGAGCACTCAGCAGAAAACAGACCAAAAGCCAGATTTTTTTTTTTTTTTTTTTTACTCCACATACTGTTCCAACAGGCACCAAGCTCCAAACTATCTAGAATCTATTAAGTAAGGAAATTTCTAGAGCTTTGTTGAAATGCTATGCATGAGAGTCCCTGCTTTAGGATGGAGAACTGCTATAAAAAGGTACTTGAATTTCTACCTCAAACATTTTCTGTAGCATCAGAGAGAACCATGTTAAACCTAATTTTGAGGAGATTCTGATGTACCCCCTGGGATGATGTCCCAAAGGACACTCCAAGGCATGAAAGATTTGAAATTATTCCAGTAAGCAGTTTAATCACTGACAGGACGTGGTATGTGAAGCTGGATGAAATGCAATGTACTTTATACAGTTTTATATTTCAATCTTCTGGTGAATTTTTTTTTTTGGATCAATATTACTTTAACAATGAAAATGTTCTAGATTGGGAATGCATAAAAATTTAAGGGACGGAACAGAAAACTAAAAATTAAAAGTCATTCACTAAGACTTATCGAAAAAAAATGATCTTTCTTCATGGAAATGTACTGATATCAAAATAATGCTTAGACAAGATTCAATTCCCTCTCCTTATCCTGAAACATGAGGTAGAGATTCTGAATTTTCTGAGCAACATGCTGGTGCCCAGCTGCCCAAACATCAAAGAACAATCAACTCAAAGATTGCCCGAAGAAGGAAGTGGGGCCTAAATTATTCAATGAAGACTGGGAAGAACTCAGAGGGCCAACAGTCTATGTGATTAGGAACTATGTGAGAGGACAGGTATTTTATCACACGTGAGCCTTCTTTTCATTTACATATCTGAAACAGGAGATAATAAGCTACGATAATTATTTTTTTTAATCAACATTCTCTAATATTTTACAAGATAAATTCCTTGGATTGTTTGGCTTTTCTATCTTACTATGTAACACGCTAGTAAAATGAAATGAAAGTGCTGAATCTCTATTAAGATCTGTGGTCCACTGTTTTATTTTATTATTATATTGTAAATGTTTTATTATTTATCTTTGAGAAAGAGACACACATAGAATCTGAAGCAGGCTCCAGGCTCTGAGCTGTCAGCACAGAGCCTGATGCAGGGCCCAAAGTCATGGACCGAGAGATCATGACCTGAGCCAAAGTTGGCACCCAACTGACTGGCCCACCCAGGTACCCCTGTGGTCCATTGTTTTAAATCAGTGATTAATAACTATTAAGATGTAAAATGCCTATTTCAAGGCACTCCTGGACACCTTCCATTCCTAAACCTTCTGTTAGAACAGCACTACCCATGGAAATGGTATACAGAAAAAGGTTGAGAACCGCTAATTTAAAGTGTTTAATGGAAAACGCAAATCCCAATTTTTACATAACACCCTGACTTAGAAACTGTGGTATCATTAAAAACTGGACATAACACCAGCTCATCAGTTCTACAGTCACTCTTGTTTAAATAATCCAGTTAGAAATATATTGGGGCACTTTTTCAAAATGAGGGGAAAAAGAAACATATACCAATGTATTAGGGTTCAAGTATCCATGTTATCTGAAATCACCCAGTCATTAGGATAGAGACCAATGACTACCAAAGAGGAAAAACACATCCCTCCACAATTAATGTCAATTAGCAAACACCTCAGGCCACACATGAGTAAGGCACTATGGTAAACGCTGTAGGAGACAAAGAGATGCGCTTTGGGGTATTTTATTAAGGAGTTAGTCATCTCGTGCAGGATGGACAGAAAAGGGGAAAGAGAGTAAAACAGGTCCTGGGGGGAGTTCTGAATGAGGGTGATGACTTCTGGAGAAATGAAGGGAAGGACATGAAAAACCTCACAGAGAATAAAGGACAGAACCAGGTTACCAGTCAGCTATGTATCTTTTACATACCGGGTTTTATTTTCATAACCACTGGCTTTCGGTTTTTATCCCTCATTTGGCGGATGTCCAGCAGATCATGAGGATTGCCGTTATGCCTCGGCCAGCAATAGACAAATATCCGAGACCCGCTGCTCCCGCAGTCCACCACGATGCCATAGTTCACATTGGGGTTATTGGTGTCTGTCGCTTCAATGTCAGTAACTCGAGCCAAGTATCTTGTTTAGAAAAATGAACATACGTTTTTATTGAGACAGAGGCGATCGTCCTAAACTCTAACCAAGCAAATGCAATAAATAACCGTCAAGGCAGCAGATTCTAAGCTGATCCACAATGGCATTTTTACAACAGCCAAATGACTAAAGACTCAAAACAAAACAAGTGATAGTGATGAAGACAATCTAAATCAGAGACACAGTCTTTATCCCTTGTAAGAAGTTCAAACAAGTGCTGAGAAGCAAAACTACTCCCAAAGCGTGGACATTAACTGAAAAATCAGCTTAAAAGGTATCACAGGAGTAGCTTATGCTTAAACCCTCTTATGATATGGATTTGGTAGTTAATGATTAAACCATTTCAAACAGTTTAGTTTTTCATGCCCTGATGTCTTCTGTACGGATTCTGTTTCCTGCAGCCACATGCTCCTTAAATTCTACCCTAAGCCCAAAAGTCGTGAAGCTGTAAAATGGAGGCGTGGCGTCCCATCTGGAAAAGAAATGTTTTTTTTTTTTCCTCTTACCTTTGAAACTTCTTGTCTCTGGATAGCCGCCCGTACTTATTTCGGATTATGACCACTGAGAAGTATAAAAGGGAAACAGCAGCAGCCAGAACACTAATAACAATAATCTGGCGTAGGTTGGTATTCAGAATTCGAGGACACCCCACCGGAGAGATGCTAAAATGCCAGGAAGCAGGAAAAAGACAGGAGATGCCGATCCTAAAATTAAAAAAAAAAAAAAAAAAAGACTTGAAAGCAATCTGCTCCAAGGTGGCCTCTCCTCACCTATGCTGATCAAAGGAAGAAGACATCTGGCTTGAGGAACTGTATTTCCTTGGTGGTAGGTATCTGTATGCCAGCATCTTCCGTATTCCTATTTTGCTATTTAACTCACTATTATAAAACTACACAAATGAGAATTACACCCTGATGGTGTTTTTCCCCGTTGACAATATTATATAGGTTATTATTTCTATCCGCTTTGTTCCCAAAAAGAATTAGACACAATTTACAAGAAAATGTTCAATACTACAGATCTATAAATCTATAATGAACTCAAGTTTAAGGATGATGAAACCAAAAAACAATCTGGTACCGATAAATACACGTAATAAGACAGGCCTGCAAAAGTGGCTAAGTATTGTAGTGGCCAAAACCTTGCCCACTAGATTAGAAACCTACAAATAGCTCAGGAGGAGTAACTTTTCTTAACACTGAATCCCAAGGCAACTTTCTTCCTGATGATTGAGAAAATGGGACAAAAACAGCATCTTTAACGACATGCTCATAACAAGGTAAATAAATGAATTCTGTTATGTCCTATGTTTTAGAAATATTTGAGACAATTTTGCAAAACAAAACAAAATAAAAAACCCCCATTTCTCTTCTCAGTTTAAGTCAAGAATGAGAGATTATTATTTGACTTAAAAAAACTTTCTACCTTTAGAATGCTATTGTTTTGTGGCTTATTTCTACACTCTACCCTTTAAAGAGTGCTTTCTGAACTAAAAAATCTCACAGAGGGGTGCCTGAGTGGCTCAGTCGGTTAAGCATCCAACTTCAGCTCAGGTCATGATCTCACAGTTCATGGGTTCGAGCTCCATGCCCGGCTCTGTGCTGACAGCTCAGAGCCTGGAGGCTGCTTCAGATCTGGTCTCCCTCTCTCTCTACCTCTCCTCTCCTCACATTCTCTCTCTCTCAAAAATGAATGAATGTTAAAAAAAAATTTTTTTTTTAAAAATCTCACAGAAGGAAGGGTATCCTGCTAACCCAATGGAGTTTTCCACTTATAGTTTCTAGTCTCCCTGTGGGTCCCTGGGCCATTTCATGGAGTCTGTCATCCCCTGCCCACACCTGCAAGGCTTCAGTTACCCTGTGCTTACTGCACGCCTCACAGGTTCCACCATGCATGCCATCTACAGTAAGCTACATTAACCCCTGGAGAATCCATCTGGCAAGACTACTTTCTGCCTGTGACAAGCAGCCAATGAGGCCAGGAAGAACAAGGGTGTTAAACAGAAGTGTAGCCTACTCTGAACACTTCACTTGGAATTTAGATTCCAAATCAAGATCTGTTTCTGTGGCACTAAAATTTTACAGCGTGAGTGATTAGACACTATCACTTACCTCCCCATGCTGATGGGTCAGAGAGCAGGTACTGTTCTAGGAGTCAGTCCTCACACACCATTACGGAAATGATGCGGTCCTCCGGGAGTTAGAGCATTCCTGTTCCGGAAAATGAGAAAAATCACAAAGATGGCGCAATCCAAGAAGACATCTATTTTTTTTTTTTTTAATCAAGTACATGTTTAAATCCAACCACATGTAATCTGATACGTGATGCTTACACTGAAGTGATCCTTGCACTTCATTAGAATAAGCCATCAGAATCGCTTATCAAGAGCAACACACTTCTAAGTCAATTTCATGCTGTCAGAGATATAAGCCTAAAGAGATGGTAATATGACCCATCTCCCCCCCCTCCCCCCTCCCCCCCTCCCCCACCAGCAGCCCTCCCTTTGTTGTAGTTAAGAGTCTCTTACGGTTTGCCGCCCTCTTGGTTTTTATCTTATTTTTCCTTCCCTTCCCCTATGTTCACCTGCTGAGTTTCTCAAATTCCACATATGGGTGAAATCATATGAAACTTGTCTTTCTCTGACAGAGAGATGAATCACTGGGTTCTACTCCTGAAGCCAAGACCACACTGTATGTTAACTAACTAGAATTTAAATTAAAAAAAACACTTTTTTTAAGGAGATGGGAATAGTCTAGCACCAGTTTGTTGCTCTCTACTAAAATGTCACTCAGTGACCCAAAATACCCGGTCACCAAACAGGTACCAAATTAAGGAAGATCAGAGGTAGGGTTTGGAGGTAGGCGACAGGCAAAATGATGAACTGAACAGGAATCTGAAACGCCATTCACCTGATAAATGTCTGCTGGATCTCTCTTATGCACAAGGTACCCTGCAAGGTACTATGTTCCAGGTCAGCTCCAGCGCTTTCACGGCTATGGCCTCCCACTCCTGGGCCTCAAATCGCAGAGAAAATCAGGGCGAGCCCAGGCCTACTCCCGAGGCCTCCTTCTGACCGAATGGATCCAAAGACCTACATTTTTCTCGGTTTTGTGGCTTTACCTCTTCCAGGCCTCTCAAGGCAGCCCTCTCTTCTCTTCTGCTTTCTAGCTCTTGAACAATTCCTTCTGGGGATCTTCCCAAGTCTCCTTCCTGAAATCCTGTCTGCCCCAAGCCCTGGGCTTCTTTCTGGCTTGACTTTGTTCTCCCCCAACTCTGACCCCTACTCCTGGTCAACCTCATTTATGGCTTCAATTAGCAGGTCACTCAAGGTTTCTTTCTCCGCCCCAGGATTCTCTTCTGAGCTACAGATACAGATATCCTTAAGCACCTATGGATTCCTCTATCTCTACACTGCCCAGGCCCATGAAAAACAGTTCTGGAACTGAACGCTTTATAACTGAAATCCTCACACCCTTCTCCCCCAATGCTCCGTCTTGTAGTCTCCATCCGGATTCCACCAAGTTGCTCAAACCAGAAATAAGGGAGTCATGCCAGACCCCTTTACCCCTTCACCTTCCACATCCAGTTTCTTACAGATTCTTCTTCCATTTTTTTCAACCTCAGTTTATCTAAAATATGTCCCTTTTCTCACTTCTGGCCTGGTCCATCAGAACAGCAGCCTAACGAGTTAGCGTCCGACCTGCAGTGAAAACCCTGTGGCTACTTCTTCATCCAAGACCTACAGGCATGATTCTTCACCTGACGTTGACAGCCACTCCGTCTGTGATCCCACTACTCTTACTCGGAATCTTCCAGTGGCTCCTATTGGATTTAGTAAGTACCCAAGGCTTTCCTGTTGACCTCCATGATCCACGGGACCTCGTCACCTGTCATCACTCTGATTTCATCGTCTGCTGTCTTCACTCCATTCCAGCCATACCGGTGTGCTGGCTGTTTTGGTTTTTCTTCTTAGCATTTACTTATTTATTAGTTATACAGAACTTATTATGTGCCGTGCTCTGCTTATTTACAAATAATGTATTCGTCTTAATGACCAACCGGTAGCTACTGTTTGCATACCATTTTACACATGAGGCAGACAGGCTAACTTGCCTCAGGTCACAATGCTAACAAAAGATGATCATATGAAACGGCTGAGATGCCAGAAGGAGAAGCCATGCTCTTATCCTCAACCTGCAACATACTGCGTGTGTGGCCGCATTTCTCTTGCTCGGGTGTCCAGATTTCTGTCTGCTTGCTTGACTGCTGCATTCCCAACATCACAGACCCCAGGTAAGTGTCTGGCAAAAAGTCAAGTTTTAGAGTTCTGGAGCCCAAAGAGGCTGTGAAGTGACACATTAGAGTGATCTTTCCAAAGCAACCAGGAATCTCGACACCTCCCCATTCCCCAACTTTTCTTCCCACTTAGGAAGAAGTCCTAACTCCCTAGGATGGTAAAGGAGGGCTCTCACGATCTAGTCCTGTGCTGTTCAATATGGTGGCCATTGCCACGTGTGGCTGTTTAAAGTAATTAAAATGAAAAATGCAGTTTCTCAGGTGCACTAGCCACATTTCATGTGCTCAACAGCCACATGGAGCTTCTGCGTTAGACGGCACAGATCTCGTCCCTGTCTTCCTAGTTTTATCCCGACAGACTAGACAGATACGTACCCAATGCTTTAGCCACACTCAGCACAAGTGGCAGGTCACTGAAATGCCCATTTCTTTTTTAGAATGCCTCTCTCAACAGGTCCATCCATTGGTGTTCCAAAGGATTGCTTGCGACACGAGTCAGGCATGAGTCCTCTGTGGAAGCTTCCCTAGTCCTACTATCTCTGGACCCTCTGCTCATTGGACTAGCGAGCTACAGTGTTACACATGGGGCTGACTTTCTCACTACACGGCAAGCCTCCCATTGGCAGGGGCAGCCTCTTGGCCTTCTGTTTCCCCAGGAACCAGTGCCTGTCACACAAGAGATGAGCAAGCACTGTCTGCTTCACAGATGGCTGGGATGGGAGACATACAGATGAATCTGATATGGACCCAGCCCTGAAAGAATTTGTAACGCGGTAGAGGGGATATGGTAGAGGGGATAACATGTGCGCATGCCCCCAGATAGAGAGTAAAAAGTAGTAATAATGCCTACTTGACAAAAAGGTTACTATATCACAACTTCTATGAGAATTCCAATGGTTCAAACACTTAAAGTTTATTTCTTTATTTTCAGAGAGTGAACAAGTGAGCAGGGGAGGGGCACAGAGAGAGGGAGGGAGAGGATCCCAAGCAGGATCCCCGCTGCCAGCACAGAGCCCAACATGGGGCTCAAACTCATGAACCATGAGAACTTGACCTGAGTGGAAACCAAGAGTTGGATGCTTAACCAACTGAGGCACCCACGCACCCCAAGAAAAATTTAAAGTTAAAAATATGCATAAAAATGTTACGATGACAGTGTACCCAATCTCAGAATATGTAAGGCTTTTTCTACAATTGACATCAATGTCTTATATCATAAATCTAAGAAAATACACCATATGGGTTTAAGACTTAGGAGTGCTTTAAAAAATCCCTTCCCAAATACACAAAGCTTGGGAAAATTACTTGTCACATACATGAAAAAGGTACTATCGCTTATATATAAAATGTTCTTCTAATAAGAGAAATATTGAATTAGAAAAATGAGCAAGGATAATTGGAAATTAACCAAATAAGAAATACGAATGGCTGATATAACGTAACTTCATTAGTATTTAGAGAAACATAAATAAGAACAAGATTGTACCACTATCAGACTGGTGGAGATTAAAGTCTGACACTTACAGAAATTCAACCTTGGGAAATCACAAGGTAAATCCACTAAAATATGTGTAACGTTCATGACAGTATTGGGTACAACAGCAAAGCACTGTTACTAATGTGCATGGAGGGGGTGGGGTAGATTACACATGGTCCATTACACAGTAGCACGTGATGTGACTATTAAAAGTGATGATGCCAATCTGTATTTATTGACATGGAAAGACACCCACTATATATTAAGTGAAAAATCACATCACACATACGGGAGAAGAGGGAGAATAGGACAGAAACCAAAATGTTGACAGTGGTTGGTTACTGCTAACTAGTGAGATAATGGATCATCTATTTTCTTCCCTAGGCTTGCCTTTATTTCTTAAAGGGCATATATTAATTTTATCATCAGAAAAGAAAACAGAACTATTTTTATCAAGCTTCCTTTGACTGATCTCTCCAGTTTTCAGCATCAAATCCTCTTCTGTTTATCTTAAAAACCATGATACAGGAATTCCAATCTGAACATTTTTTAAAATCGATTATTATGGGATAGCTGAACTAAGAACAAGAGGAAAGAATGTTCTAGTTAATAGCTTAAAGTCAAGGTCCTAGGGGGAAGAAAGACCTTTAATGGTTCAATGATGAGAACTGGGAGGGCATAAGAAGCGCACAGAGGAGTAGTAACAGACCTGGCTCCAGACTACAAGGAGTCTGTAGACTGGTTACAGAGAAAATTCTAATACTCACAAAATAATCAAGAGAGTAACAGAAGGCAATGTTAAATTATCCGGACTCTTGCTATAAACAGTTCAGAGAAGAGCACAATGGAGGCTAGGGAACCTGAAAAGATTCTTGGAGGAGAGAGGTATGCTTTCGATGGGAGATGAGAAAAGAACACGTTTCAAAGGAGAAGGTGCACTGTGTAGAATGATCATAGCCAACTTGGGGTGCCTGGGTGGCTCAGTTGGTTAAGCATCCAACTTCCGCTCAGGTCATGATTTCACTGCTTCAGTTCGAGCCCCGCATTGGGCTCTGTGCTGACACCTCAGAGCTGGAGCCTACTTCAGATTCTGTGTCTCCCTGTCTCTCTGCTCCTCCCCTACTTGCACTCTCTCTCTCTCTCAAAAAACAGACATTAGAATTAATAAAAAATTAGAATAAAAAATCTAATAAAAAATTAGAATGATCATAGCAAGCTTAGTATATGTTATTTAATCTGATGTTTGTCTTAGAACTTTTTTTTGAGATATGTGATGATTTTGACAAAAAGGATAAATGGATATTTTTCTGACAAAATTTGTGCTTAAAGACAGAGGAAAATAGGACAGTTTATAAACTGCTGAAGTAATTACTTTTATTTAGGACAAAAGTATGGCCAAATATTATCCATCAGTCAACAATATGGTAACTTGATCTCGAAATGTAAACTCCAATTGTATTGGTGGCTAAAAATCTTGGCACCTGAGTTTAGGAGGGCAAACTCTAATATTATGTAAAACTGCCACGTTTTTAAAAGACCTAACTTGTGTTAGACCTACCACCAGAGAGATGCATTAACTCATGATTTCAGTTAAGTAGGGCCCTCCTGAGTTGAACATTCTTTAGTGGGGAGAAGCCCATGGGGTCATGGTCCAATGTCTGTCAGTTTCTCACTGTTAGTCCTAAGGAAAACAGCGAAAACAGTATTAATCAGTTACAAAGTGAAATGGCTCCCCTGGTGAAAAACGCAGCATGCAACGAAACAGACCTTAGCAAATTCTCAAATCACAGGCAAACAAAATCACAGACAAATGAAACTCCGAAGAGCTAGGCCTCCGAGTAAGAAAAGGTAAGATGACATGGTGGAAAGAACATACAAATATCACAGGATTGATTACAAGTGGACCCTGAACAATCAAGGGGGCCCAAAAACACGTGGGCAGGACTTGGAGGAATCTACGGTCCTGAGAGAGTGAGAAGCTGAAGCGAAGCACAGGATGCTGTGCCTGACGCAGTCTTGGGGAAGAAGACATCAAAATATCTCAATTCTTTCTTTAAGAAGAATGCATGTAGTTGCACTTATGATCTACATTTCCTTCCATATTTTTTTTAATTTTATTTTTCAATAACAAGTCCTAATCAAACCTCTTCCTACTTCATACAAAATTCTCTGCAAAATTCTGGTCCCTATTTTATTTTACTTATTTATTTATCTCTTAAAATGTTTATTCATTTTTGACACAGAGGGAGAGAGCACAATCTGGGGAGGAACAGACAGAGAGAGGGAGACACAGAATCCGAAGCAGGCTTCAGGCTCTGAGCCATTAGGGGAGAGCCTGATGCGGGGCTCGAACCCACAAACCGCGAGATCATGGCCTGAGCCAAAGTTGGATGATTAACCGAGAGAGCCACCGAGGTACCCCAAACTATTTTATTTTTTTAAAAATGTTTATTTGTTTATTTTGAGAGACAGAGAGAGAGAGAGAGGTGGGGGATGGGGAGGGGCAGAGAGAGAATCCCAAGCAGGCTCCACGCTGATGAGTCGAAACCAAGAGTCAGATGCTTAACCAACTGAGCCTCCCAGGTGCCCCCGGTCCCTATTTTAAATGACGTTTTTTGTAGTCACACTCTTCCTGCGTCACCTCTGCAGTTTCTGAAATCTCCGACTCTGATTTTCCTCAAGTTTCAAGTCCGCATCCCTAGCTTACTGCCACCCTGCTACTGCAACTCATTTAGTCCAAGTCTGGGGTTATGATCTCTTGGCAGAAACGAATACCACCTTCCAAATTCTCCAGGCCTACAAGGGGGATCACCATGACTGGAGTTACCTGGTTCTTAACTTTGAATCCTACTTCTCTTCTACCTATTATACCATTTATTGGGTCCTGTCAATTCTTTTTCAAATGTCACATTTAGTCCACATATCTAAAAGAACCACAGCAGACATTACTACCCCCAAGATGGATTCTAGGCAGGTCCCCTACCTTCTGCTCTGCTATGAACACAACACTTCAGAAACACCTCTGTGTAAAATGCTACATTCAAACTATGATCAGCTCAAGAAAGTTCTGGAGCCTACGGGTCAACACCAAATTGCCTGGGTGGCATCTGAAACCTTAACATCCATCAACTGGTCCCATTTTACTTTATCCACTTGTTCTCTCTTCAGCCCCAGAGAACATCTCTCTGCTCTAGGAAGTGGGGTCTCTTGTTTTCCACATGCAGTCTTCTCATTCTTGCCGCTGGTCTTTACAAAGATCACTTCTAGTATGTCTTGCTGTCAGGGCTACACTGCTTTCAAAGCTCAGGTCAATACTTTTCTTTGCCAAGATTTAACCTGTTTTACTGTCTCATGTTTTCCCACACTCTGATATCTTCTTTTTATTCAAGAGTAGGCGGTTTTATTTTTATTGATTTTTTTAGCTTTACTGGCTTCACACCCAACATGAGGCTTGAATTCACAACCCCAAGATCAAGAGTCACATACTCTACCAAATGAGCTAGCCAGGCGTCCCAAGTGTAGCTATTTTAAATAAACAGGCTGAATAAATATGTACAAAATATACAGCCTTAAATCAACCTTTATTCTTGTTTCTTCTCTGTAGACTACTGGCACAAGGGTTGAGATCAGGCATTGCCTTTACATATGGAAGAATGTAAACATAGATTCAATATGTAACAAACACAAGTGATTAACCAATGTTAACATAAACAGAGAGAATTAAACCACTAGTACAAATTAGGACTCCATTCTAGAATTCTGCTAGTGTGTCAAACTGAAAAAAACGTGTATGAAGACAAAAATAACATCAAATACAAGATAACACAAAAAATAGGATTCTTTTAAGGCCTCTCCAAGGTTGGAAAAAGTCCATTACACAAAGCAGAGCACAGTAAATGCTGCAGTGTGAAATTAAACTAGGGATTTGAGTCTCTAATTTAGAATTCTCCAATAACTTCTAGTTCATCTTCTAGCACGGAAGTTCCCGAACTCCAAAGCATCTCTTCTCTTTGCTAACAGTGATTAATGTTCTCTGAAAGCACCAGTGTTCCCTAACTGGGGTCTGGGTTCCCCTGTGAGTTCTGGGACATAGTGTAGAGAATGAGAACTGTCCCTTTAAAAGGGACATTACTCAACTTTGAGAAACACTGCTCTATCACTTTATTGCCCAATTCGTTCCATTTTTCCAAGGAGCAATCTAAAGCATAAAAGTAAAAGCAGAGCAAAGCAAAACCGAGGCTGAAAAGTACCAATATTGGGAAAGGCGACCAGCAAGAACCAGTCGGTGCAGCATCCCCTCTCCCCGGCCAGGTCCCTCGCCACTGGGGACCAGATCCGCCCACACTACGTGTCAGAGAGGGAAGGAAAATCCAGCGTGGTCACCGGAGCCGGCGCGACAGCCCGACTGCCAGGTTTCTCTTGCCAGGGGCTGGGGGACAGCACCTGCCGCCCGGGGTCACGGGGGCTGACAGCTGGGGCGCCCGGATGTGGCCGCGCGGCCCGGGTGGCGGCGGCGGCGCGGACGTGAAGACCGCTGGCAGGCGCGGGGAGGGCTCGCGGGGCACCGGGGCTCGTCCGCGGCCCTCGCCGCCCCGCCGCGTCCCACGCTCCAACCGTCCCACCTCCGCCGGCCGCTTCTCGCCCTCCCCTCGCCCGCGCCGGGAAGGCCGCCTCACCTGCTCGGCGGCGCCCGATTTGGCGGCCGGGGCTCCCGGCAGCCGGAAGCTGAGAGCTAAGCGCATCACGGCCACCGCAGAGCGGTGGCGACGCCGGCGACGGCGGCGGCGGCGGCGGCGGCAACACAAACCCGGCTTCCTGGAAGATCCGTTCCTTTCCGGGAGCCGCACCGCCGCCTGGCGCCTGCCCGTGCGCGTCACCGCCCGCTCCGGGGGCGCGCACGCCGTGGCGGTGGGGGGCTGGGGGGGGAAGGACGGGGCAGGGGGTGGGGCTGCGCCGGGGCGGGGCCTGCGCCCGGATGATTGGCGTGGAGTGCAGAGCCGTTCTCAGGGTGAAGACCAGCGGGCAGCTCCACTCAGAGAATGCAGAAAGTGACAGTGATGTCACAGAAGTAACGGTAGTGTGGCTTGGCTACCGCTGGTCGGTCGGAGCCAGTCTGGTAGTCAGTAAGCTGCAACGTGCTTGTGATACCAGGTTATCTTTCCTTGGTGCCGCCGAAGATCATGGAAAGTAGTAACATTTGAAAAATCTAACAAAAACTAGCCATTCTTGCTCAACTCTTGATATGTTTACAACTTTACCAGTAGTTACACTGGTTTTTGTGTTTAAGTTTTTTATATAAATTCTAGTTAGTTAAGATGCAGTGTAATACTAGCTTCTGGTGTACCGTTTAGTGATTCAACTATTAAAATCCCAGGAGAGAAGACAGGACATAACATCTTTGACATCAGCCATGGCAACTTCTCACTAGATATGTCTCCTGTGGCAAGGAAAATAAAAGCAAAAGTAATCTATTGGGACTTTATCAAAAGAAAAAGTTTCTGCAGCTAAGGAAATAATAAAACTAAAAGACAACCTTTGGAATGGGAGAAGCTACTTGAAAATACATAGCTGATAAAGGGTTAGTATCCAAAGTCTATAAAGAACTTATAAAGCTTGATACTCCAAAAATGAATAATCCAGTTCAAAAATGGGCATAAGACATGAATAGACATGTTTTCCAAAGAAGACATCCAGGTGGTCAACAGACATATGAAAAGATGCTCAACATCATTCACCATCAGGGAAATACAAATCAAAACCACAATGAGATGCCACCTCACACCTGTCAGAATGGCTAAAATCAACAACACAAGAAACAACAGGTGTCGGTGGGATGTGGAGAAAAAGGAACCCTCGTGTATTGTTGGTGGGAATGTAAACAGTGCAGCCACTCCGAAAACACTGTGGATGTTCCTCAAAAAGTTAAAAATAGAACCACCCTGATCCAGCAATCGCAATACCAGCTATTTACGCAAAGAATACAAAAATTCTAATTCAAATGGATACATGTACCCCAGTGTTTATAGCAGCGTTATCTATAATAGCCAAACCCCAGAAATGGCCCAAGTGTCCATTGACTGATAAATGGATAAGGAAGATGTGGTATATATACAATGGAATATTACTCAGCTACAAAAGAAGAATGAAATCTTGCCACTTGCAACAAAGTGGGTGGAGCTAGAGAGTATTACGCTAAGTGAAGTAAATAGCTATCCTTGTTTTACAGGTGGGAAAACTAAGGCTCACATTCATCCAGTGGTTCTCTCAAGGTCCAGGATTTCATCCTTGCCAAAAGTTAGGTAGTAGAGCCTGTTCTTGAGAGATGGAAGCCCCCCCCCCCCCGCCCCCCCCCCCCCCCCCCGCTCCATACACAATGGTTCTGAGGAGAAATAGTAGGGTGAACACCATTTCCTGAGATTGACCCCATGACCTTGTATTTAGCTCAAGGCCATTCTCTCTAGCTTGACAAAAAACTACCTTGAAGTCACAGAACTGGAAGAGACATTGAGAATCACAGCTTCTGTTCCCCTTTTCCTCTTTTTTTTTTTTTTTTTAAACAGGTGAAGACACTGCTGTCCAAGGATAGGAAGTGATTAGCCAGCATAGCCACTTTAAAATGTTTTTAAAAATGAGAGCCCTGGAAAAATCTACACTATTACTTTTGTCAAGTACAAACTTGGAAACAACAACTTGGAACACATTACGTGGTGTTCTCCCATGCATCCAAATATCCCTCTGCCTTTAAGGATACTGGTCATAATGAATTTAGGGCCCAACATAATCCAATATGATGTCTTCTTAATTACATTTGCAGAGATTCTATTTCCAAATAAGGTCACATTCACAGATTCTGGGTGGATGTGAACTTTGGGGGGACACCATTTAGCCAGTACATGAGATGACCATCCCAGTCTAGGTTGTCAGGGGAGACCACTTCAAAGAAGTGGTGTCTGAGGTTACGCCTGCAAGATGAATTGGAATCAACTAGAAGAAGGATGAGTTCTGGGTCTATATGAAGAAGTCGTCCAGTGGAACCAGCAAAGAGTCTCAGAAGGAAGAAGGAACACAACTGTCAGAGTGATCCATCAATTTATTCTCACTTATTAACAAAAGAAACAAAAAACTAAGCTAGTAGGCGATAATACTGAGTACTTTACTCCAGGCACGGTTCTAGTTCATTAGAAAACACTTCAAATAGAATGATACTGAAAATACATCAAAACGCATGGAGTACAGCTGAAGTAGCACCCTCTGAGAAATTTACACCTTGAAAAGTTTATTTTAGTAATGAAAAAATATTTGGTATCTGTTATCTAAAGCTTCATCTCAAGAAGTTAGGGTAAGAAGGGACACCTGGGTGGTTCATTTGGTTGAACATCCAACTTTGGCTCAGATCATGATATCACAGCTTGTGAGTGTACCCCACATTGATCTTGCTGCTCTCAGCACAGAGCCAGCTTCTGGTCTTCTGCCCCCCCTCTCTCTGCCCCTTCCCCACTTGTGCTTTCTCTCAAAAATAAATCTTTTAAAAAAAAGGAATTAGGGCAAGAAAAGCAAATTTTATCAACTTTTTAAGAGAGAAATTATATCAGGATGCCTGGGTGGCTCAGTCAGTTGAGTGTTGGACTCTTGATCTCAGCTCAGTTCTTGATCTCAGGGTCATGAATTCAGGTCCCACATTGGGCTCTGCTCTGGGCCTGAAGCTTAGAAAGAAAGAGGGAAAGAAAGAAAGAAAGAAAGAAAGAAAGAAAGAAAGAAAGAAAGAAAGAAAGAAAGAGAGAAAGGAAGGAAGGAAGGAAGGAAGGAAGAGAAAGAAAGGAGGGAGGGAGGGAGGGAGGAAGGAAGGAAGGAAGGAAGGAAGGAAGAAAGAAAGAAAGAAAGAAAGAAAGAAAGAAAGAAAGAAAGAAAGAAGGAAAGCAAGCAATTATACCAATCTTACATAAAGTCAGAGAAATAGAGGAGGAGGGTCAAAATGATCTTGATACCAAGAAATAAAAAAGAAAGTTACACATCATTATCTTTTATGAACACAGATGCAAAAATTCTAACAGAACATTGGCAAATCAAAGCCAGCAATATCTAGAAAGAGTAAAACAGCTTAACCAAGTGGAATTTCTTTAAGAAATGCAAGGTTGGTTCAACATTTTAAACTCAATCGATGTGATCCACTATATAAATAGTATAAAGAAGACAATGTGTAGGATTGCATGATCTTAATCAATATATAAAAAATATTTGACAGCATTGAGCACTCATTCATGATTTAAACCAAAAAGCTCTCATCATCTGTAAAGGAAATGACCTTCCTTCTTCAGTTTGATAGGGAACTACATAGAAGAACTGTAGCTAACATGGCTGTGAGAACAAAGTATCTCATTACTTGTTTGGTATTTTAAAGGTATTTAAATGAAAGTTTGAAAAAGTGTGAAATCTGGACTGCAGAAGCCACCTTGCAACCATGAGGCAACAGTAATAAGGATAAGAAGGCCATACGAAACATGATTAAATAGGAAGAGTTGCGTGGGTCGGTCATGGCGTCATGAAACCACTGAACTAACACCAGCTACTGGATCTACCTCCTGATTTCGTTTGGGCTGGATACTCCATTACTTGCTGATAGGTCTTTAAAGAGACTTGTGGACTGGTTGGTTAAAAACTAGGAGGGCCCTCCAGAGGTCCTGTCTCCCAGCTGCCTTACTTTTATCAGTTTAGGATCTGTTTACATTTTATAGATGAGACAGCTGGGCTCCCAGAGGCAATGTGGCTTGCACAAGCTTCTAAACCTGGGAGATGGGATAATTGAATGTGAAGAATACCAAACTGGGAGGTAGGCACTTGAGCCCTAGTCCTTGCTTGCTTTGTTGCCAATTGACTGTGCACATTCAGAAAATTTCGTTTACCTCATTGGTCCTCACCAGCTATACGTTATTTTAAAAAGGTAGACGGGAGGTGGTAGGCTGGCCCCTAAGGTCCTTCTCAGTCTCAAATCCATAATTTCTAAGAGGCAAAAGAGAAGACTAGAAACAGGTCCTCTGATTCTCCCTCCTCCTCCTTATGAACTCAAACATAAAAGAGCCCTTTCCTTTTTTCATTGAACTCTGGATTGCTTTCAAACTGTGCACATGGGAACCTTGATGAATGGCTCAGTATTTAACCATCAGTCTTTAAACCCAAACAGGATTTCTTTTAAATTATCTTCTTGAAAAAAAATCCTCTCACATGGCAATTGCTTGGAATCCTGCTGGCTTTGATCTTTAAATGTTTTAACCAAATTGGCTAAACTATCCCTCCCAGCGCTGTGGATGTTCAGAGCAGGTAACTGTGAGCTGTTGTGGGTGTCATGGAAACAAAGGAATCAAGTGGGCCTTGGAAAGGATGGGTCCTATTGTTCTCCCCTGGTGCTATTTGCCTCGGAATGCATTCATGCACAGACTAGTTGTTGAGCAACTTGGCTAATAATTCTATATACTTGTACAGAGTTTTTCTTCAAGGAGATCATAACATTTGACAGACATGACCTCATTTATAAGCTCAGCATTCCTGAGGCAGGGAATGGGCCAAGAGAACCCTTATTTTATGGTGTTTTGCTATGGCGAGGAAGCGCTTGAGATCCAGAAAGAGCAAGTGACTTGTTCAAGGCAAAATAAAAATTCAGAGTTTCCTTCAACTTTTTCTCCTCACAGCAGCATGATCTGCTGTACCCTAAAGGGATCATGTGGGATATGAGTCATTACACATACACATGCACACACACACACAAGGAGGGGGTAGACTTGGTTGCTGCTCAGGACCCGTTCTTCTGTTTTTGGTAAACCTCAAATTTGTGAAAGAATATCCCTGTCTCCCACTCAGTCCATTAGAGTCAGAACATATGA